CTTGCATGGAGCTCCAGACTGAGGGCAATTGATGGTTATTTTGTATTTTTTTAATTTGCGAATAATTGCTCCAACAGTTGTCTCCTTCTCACAAAGCTTCTTGATGATGTTCTTGTAGCCCATTCCAGCCTTGTGCAGGTGTACAATCTTATCCCTAACATCCTTTGACAGTTCTTTGGTCTTGTCCATTATGGTGATGAGGTTTGAATGGAAGAAAGAGATTCTGTGGACAGATTTCTTTTAAAACATGTAACGAGTTGTCTTTCAGAGTACCTTCTTAAATTGACAGAACTAATCTGTGTACCACATGAGCACATAGCCAGTCTGTGGGAGCCAGAATCATTTTTGTGGTTAGTATGGAATGAAATACTTATTTTATTCACTGAACTGCAACTCAGTTTATAACATTTGTATCATGTGTTTTTTCTGGATTTTTAGTTGATATTCTGTCTCTATTACTAAAAATACACCTATGATAAAAATTATAGCCCCTTCATTTCTTTGTAAGTGGGCAAATTTACAATCTGCAGGGGATCAAATAATTATTTTCCCCACTGTACTTTAAAAAAAAAACCATCTAAGTACCTTCTTTCCTAATTGATATACAGATGTCACATGACCCACGTCTTTCCCAGCCTGTCTGCAGGGAAGCATAAATAGGAGGAGATTCTAGTCCTCTGCTGCTGGCAACATGTTCAAAAAAAAAACAGCCTTTGGGATACAGAGTAAATATAAATAATTAATATCAATAAACTGTTTTAAATCATTATACAAATATAAATTTGAAATCAAAGCTTTATTATTTTTTAACAATAACATGGTGTGGGGCAGATTTCTGAGTGTTGCAGGCTGTGTTACACCCCTCCATCCTGTGTCTTAGAATAACAGGGAGGTGAAGCCTTCATCAATCAGTTTGTAATATTCCACCCCCATTGCCTTTAATTCGTTAGTGGGGATGGAGGAGGAGGGAGGGAGCGGACTGTCATTTATCACAGTGTATATGCCCACATGTGTGACTCTATAGCAGGGGTGTAAAACTGTCAGCCCTCCAGCTGTTCTGAAACTATAAGTCCAATCATGCCTTTGGGAGTCATGCTTGAAACTGTCAGCCTTGCAATGCTTCATGGGACTTGCAGTTTGGCAACATCTGGAGGGCCGCCAGTTTGACACCCCTGCTCTATAGTCATAAAGGCTAAAAACTGAGCATGTGCAGAAGATGCCAACACTGCTCTGCAAAATTCCCAGCTGCATTGGGGACATGATCAAAAGAGGGAGACAGAGAACAGCAAGATCAACCAGGATTTCTGCAGAATACAGAAAATGAATCCCAGAGGGACTGAGTGAGTATGACCAGCAGGTAACACAGCATTTATTGATACTTTTTTATGATGTGAGTTTAGTGACACTTTAATATTACTAAACTTAAAATGAATCAGTTATGAGCAGTCCCAGGCAGTGCTAAATTATTGTAAGTGTTGAGGTTTATTTAATATAAAAAAACCTTTTCAAGGTTAAAGTGAACTTGACTTGGCAAGAAAGTAGCTCAGGGTAACGACAGTGTTGAAATGCAGACACCTTGTGATGCAAGTACCTTTTTTAGTCTTCAAATCTATTCCTTTTAGATTTCACTGGGATCCTAGGCCAAGGCTGTACTCAACTTACTGACTTTCCTCAAAGTCAAGATTAAGGCCTGCCCCTTCCAGGCAGTAAGGCCCAACCCAGCATTCCACTGTAAAATGCCCAAGTATCAGTAAGCAGTGCTAGCTGTAGGATCTGACAGTTGATTGACAAGGGTGGGAGCCTCACAGGAGTACTTGAAGGTACCACAAGGTGCCTACACTTCAACACTGCTTTTACCCTATGTCATTTTAAAGTAGATCAGGTCCACTTTAAAGGCCCACTAGAGTGAAAAATATTGTATTTTGGTTATTGTATGATATTTTTTTATTTCACTTACATGCAGACCAAACTGTTCAGCAAAAGTGACATTAAAACAGATCCCTCCCCCAGAATTTGTTAACCCCTGCTTACTGGGGGATTCTTTCTGCACCATTCAGATACTCATCCACCTAGGGGATCCAGCGTTGTCCCGCTGAGATCCTCTTCTGTTTTGCCTCTGCTCGGTTCAGCGCCGCCATGTTAACATGTGATGTCATCGGTAGGCACCAGCTTTTCGAGTTCAGCCTAGCCTGACCAGACTACCAATGACACGCCTCTAGGACCGCCCCCCCCCCTTTAGTGAATGGAGGGACAATGCCTCCTGGAATATGTGACATGCATACAGTCACCTAGGCCCAAAAAAAGGAAAAAAAAAAAAAAACAACAAAAAAAGTGGGCTATCTATGGATAGGAGGGGAGAAAAGGTGGAGAAGAGGGAAGGGTGAAAGATCCGCTTTAAGGGCCCATTCACACATGCTTTGGTCTCTGAAGAGAGCATTGTACTGCCTCCTCACTGCCTGCTTTAACCTCTTAATTGCTGCACCACCTCACCGTACGGTCATTTCCATTTCAACAGCGAAAAGGCAAGAACCTTCTTAGAAAACATATACATTGTAGCAGGTCTTGGTGGAGTAGTGGAGGACACTGTCATCTTACATGCTGCAAAGCTTTATCTATTACTGCTAATACTTTATTGAAGTAGAACTATAGGCAAGACATTTTAATTTTTGATAGGGAAATACAAAGAAATGCAGAGCAGCATGTTACTCCTGGCAGGAGAGAGACCTGTGTTGTTCATACACAGGTCTCTCCCCTGTCACTGTTTCTCGGCAATCACCAGGTGCCAGTAGAGAATCTCCGGCCGGGACCCGGTTATCGACATCTGTAGCCGCCAATGGTGGCGCAGGCAGGGTGGTGTGCCCCCTACCTGGTAATGCAAATCATATATATATATATATATATATATATATATATATATATATACAGTGGGGATCGAAAGTTTGGGCACCCCAGCTAAAAATTTGTATTAATGTGCATAAAGAAGCCAAGGAAAGATGGAAAAATCTCCAAAAGGCATCAAATTACAGATTAGACATTCTTATAATATGTCAACAAAAGTTAGATTTTATTTCCATCATTTACACTTTCAAAATAACAGAAAACAAAAAAATGGCGTCTGCAAAAGTTTGGGCACCCTGCAGAATTTATAGCATGCACTGCCCCCTTTGCAAAGCTGAGACATGCCAGTGTCATGGATTGTTCTCAATCATCCTCTGGGAAGACCAGGTGATGTCAATCTCAAAGGTTTTAAATGCCCAGACTCATCTGACCTTGCCCCAACAATCAGCACCATGGGTTCTTCTAAGCAGTTGCCTAGAAAACTGAAACTGAAAATAGTTGACGCTCACAAAGCTGGAGAAGGCTATAAGAAGATAGCAAAGCGTTTTCAGATGTCAATATCCTCTGTTCGGAATGTAATTAAGAAATGGCAGTCATCAGGAACAGTTGAAGTTAAAGCAACATCTGGAAGACCAAGAAAAATATCAGACAGAACAGCTCGCAGGATTGTGAGAAAAACAATTCAAAACCCACGTTTGACTGCACGATCCCTCCAGAAAGATCTGGCAGACACTGGAGTTGTGGTACACTATTCCACTATAAAGAGATACTTGTACAAATATGGTCTTCATGGAAGAGTCATCAGAAGAAAACTTCTTCTACGTCCTCACCACAAAAATCATCGTTTGAACTTTGCAAATGAACATATAGACAAGCCTGATACAGTTTGGAAACAAGTTCTGTGGACCGATGAGGTTAAAATTGAACTTTTTGGCCGGAATGAGCAAAGGTACGTTTGGAGAAGAAGGGGCACAGAATTTAATGAAAAGAACCTCTGTCCAACTGTTAAGCATGGGGTTGGATCAATCATGCTTTGGGGTTGTGTTGCAGCCAGTGGCACAGGGAACATCTCACGAGTAGAAGGAAAAATGGATTCAATAAAATTTCAGCAAATTTTGGATGGTAACTTGATGCCATCTGTGAAAAAGCTGAAGTTAAAGAGAGGATGGCTTCTACAAATGGATAATGATCCTAAACACACCTCGAAATCCACGGGGGATTACATCAAGAGGCGTAAACTGAAGGTTTCGCCATGGCCTTCACAATCTCCTGACCTCAACATAATTGAAAATATATGGATAGACCTTAAAAGAGCAGTGCGTGACAGACAGCCCAGAAATCTCAAAGAACTGGAAGACTTTTGTAAGGAAGAATGGGCAAAGATACCTCAAACAAGAATTGAAAGACTCTTGGCTGGCTACAAGCTGTGATACTTGCCAAAGGGGGCAGTACAAGATATTAACTCTGCAGGGTGCCCAAACTTTTGCAGACACCATTTTTTTGTTTTCTGTTATTTTGAAAGTGTAAATGATAGAAATAAAATCTAACTTTTGTTGACATATTATAAGAATGTCTAATCTGTAATTTGATGCCTTTTGGAGATTTTTCCATCTTTCCTTGGCTTCTTTATGCACATTAATACAAATTTTTAGCTGGGGTGCCCAAACTTTCGATCCCCACTGTATATAGGTGATTTTGTGCAGCCCTGACGCCCTATAGTAGTATTTCTGGGGACCCCCAGGGCTGGGGTTGCCACCTCTTCCCTTTAAAACCGAACACATATTAATTACACAGGTTCTGTGGCTGATTAAGGTGGTAATTAAACTCACTTAGGTAAACAGGAGAAATAGAGAGGGTGAATTTCCTTAAAGGGGACACAGACAGCAATAAAAATTTACAGGTGTTCTAATCCTTCTGCACTCCATCCAACATTAAAAAAAAACTTTTGCCTTTAGTTATACTTTATAGTTTTGATTTTTTTTTAACTACCTAAATTCTTCTAAAATGGAGACTGTATTTGGAGCAACACATACAAAGACTCTCTCCCTTCAAGATGCAGGGTATAATGTGAACTGTGCAAAGCTTCTAAAGAGCCTTTACCTATAGTAGATGGTACAAATAAATAAATAATACAAATATAAAGACTGAGCTTTGATAAAGGTTTACTTATTCAACTTGTATTTCATTTTATGGAAGAGTCGCAGGGCATTATGAGCTGTTGCTTCGCAAACTGCCTCCGGAGAAAGACCTTTCACTTGAGCAATATATTCACAGGGGATGTGGATATTCCATGGGACATTTCTTTCCTGAAGCAAACACAAAGGACAGTGTGATCTATGGAACGTCAGTCATATGATACAATGAATAAAAGCCAGCTCCTAATAAAACTGATATGTCAGTTTAGAGCACATGTATCAAACACAAGGCCCGCTGGCTGTATCCGGCCACCAGGCCATTTCATGTGGCCCTTACACCTCTCCTGCAGCTGTGGCTCCCTCCACATCTCTGCCCCCACCTTGTCTCAGCAGACAGCAACAGGGAAGAGGAAATGACACCTCTGCCAGATCCTGCACCTCTCCGTGCAGCAGCAGAAAGCCTCATCTCTGACCTTCTTCCCCGTCTCAGCAGTTGGCAGCAGAGAAGGGTACAAAACATCTCCTACAAATCCTGCTCTTCTCTGTGCAGTCGCAGCACCACCTCCTCGTCTCTGCCTCCCTTGGTCTTAGCATTCAGCAGACTCCGGCAGCTGGCTCCAGCCCTCTATTGGTCCTACTCCAGACCCTGCACTTTCTCCTTCCCAGCTCCCCCTCCCCCCCCCTTCTCCCAGCTCCCTCCCGGCAGCATAAAGGTAAGGAGAGGTGCACAGTAATGTAAGAGAGGGTGGAACTCTTGACTTCTGATGGTGAGGGGAAGGGGGGTTCTTAATATATGATGTGGGGGTGGGGTGCTCTGGACACCTAGTCTTACAGATACCACAGGCCCTTTGAGGGCAACCATAATGCTGATGTGGCCCATGATAAAAACTGAGTGTGACACCCCAGGTTTAGAGTGTTCACTGTGTAACGCTAGCCCCATAGGAGCAGCTGGAATCTGGCTTGTTCTTTCCCAAAGTTAGTGCAAAGGCAGCCAGACGCACAGCAACAGTTCACTCACTCTGGCTCAATAATCAATGAAGGGGATGTTTTTTTTTTTTTCTTCATTTATTGCGGAAACTTGTTACTGGGGAGGATGATGGGGTATGGGATACTCCAAAACATCTGGGCACAAAGTTGCAGTGAATACTTCTCTACGTGACAGCAACACATCCAGCTGTGGACCAGGAGAATACTAGGCATATAATTAGCAGAGTTCACATCTCCACTAGTTAGTAACAACACAGTCTTTAACTACCAGACCAGGAGAATGTTAGAGCATGGGTAGAACATGAAAGAAGACTGGAACAGTGTGTCCTGCAGCTGATGACCACAAGATAGGACAGCTCTCTAGGCACACTGCAGCAGTTTTAACATCCACAACTGGAGTTCATAAACTGCAGCTCAGGAGATTGGGCTCTACTCCAGAATCCCAGTAGAGGCAAAGCCAAGGGATCAATCCAGGGGGAGAGAGTAGTCCAACAGCCAGTGAGGAAGGCCCCAGGGCTTCGCAGATCCCTGAAGCACAAGGTCCTCCTTCCTCCAGGGGATAAACAGATCTCTCTGGACTCCTAGCTTCCAACCACTATCTGGGCACATCCCTCAGGGTTTGGCTGGAGCAAGGTAAGAGCCCAACCTGGGCATTTCAATTTTGCACCCTGAGCTCTGGAAGGTTCTCAACAGAGCCAGGAGGAATCAACCAAACTGCTAGGTAGACATGATGATGTCACTCCTGTGCCTGCACAGGGAATTCACGGCTGTGGCACAATGCTCTGAAAGTATGGCATCGTCCATTCAGACCGCAGTACAACTGCGCCAGTGACATCACCAGCCGTTACACATGTAAACATCTCTTAGACAGTACACGTTTAGGAAATATTAATTGTACTTACAGGTAAGCCTTAATTTAGGCTTACCTGTAGGTACAAGTAAAAAAGCTGACTTTGCTACCACTTTAAGGAGGACCTAACATTAAAATTCACACTTCACATGAATTAATAGGTAACATATCATGGTTAAATAAATCACATGACTATTTTGAGTTAGCTAAAATGTCTTGTATGCCATGAACATAAACCCTCAAGGGTACTATCACACCTGCCAATGCACCCTGTGTGGTATCAGCTGGTAAAAACCAGTGTGGATTCCTATGATTAGCTGTGAGTAGGCAGCCCCATTGAAAGCAAAGGGAGGCTGTCGGCTCTCGCAGCTAATCACCCACACTTGCATGTAATGGATCAAGCAGCGATCCTATGCCAGTGATTGGCCCTGGATGCAAACTGCCTGCACACAGGACCAGTCACTCACATGATCTCTGCTTTAGCGATTCCATGCAAGTAGGCATGATTAGCTGTGAGAGCCAGCAGCCTACCATTGCTTTCACTGGGGCTGCCTACTAACAGCTAATCATGGAAACCCCCTCGGGTTCTCACAGCTGATAACACACAGGGTGCATCTGCAGGAGAGTGTTGTTACTTAGAACAGAAAATATCCTGTGCACCACCTTATTTGAAGACAAAGGAAAAAGCAAGCAATAGGTTGCCAGCTAGCCCTTCAAAGTGATCACACTCCACTTTGGAAAAATCATTCTGAGGAAGTCTGGAATTGGATGACATGCATCAAAGGGGACGAGCCTTTATGCCAATGACATCATCATGTTAATTACACAGCTCCAACATACAGGAGAGTGGTAAGCTGGAATTTACATTATTAATTTTATTATACAGGATTTATATAGGGCCAACAGTTTGCTCAGCGCTTTACAATATAAAGGGAGACAATACAGCAACAATACAGTTCAAAACAAGAGGGTTAGGAGCAGGGGCGGACTGACAACTCATGGGGCCCCCGGGCAATAGGGGATCATGGGGCCCCTGTGTCCTTGACCAAACTCAAAAAAGCCTATGAAAAAGGTACCAGGGGCATCTCATGGGGCCCCCTACTGACCCCGGGCCCTCGGGCAGTGCCCGAGTTTCCAAATGGTCAGTCCAACCCTGGTTAGGAGGGCTCTGCTCCTTGGAGCTTACAATCTAAGAGAAATTTACAATGACATCATCATGGTAATTACACTCCAACATACAGGAGAGTGGTAAGCTGGAATTTACATGAGTAATTTTATTATACAGGATTTATATAGCGCCAACAGTTTGCTCAGCACTTTACAATATAAAGAGAGACAATACAGCAACAATATAGTTTAATACAAGAGGGATAGGAGGGCCCTGCTCCTTCGAGCTTACAATCTAAGAGAAAATTTCATTGCTTAAAAAGACTGGATGATTGGTGGCATCTGTGTTCAAGATGATACATTGTCATCTTCTTGATGTGAGTGCCCAATGACAGAAGCCTTTGTTTTACGTGAGCTCATTCACACAATACAAAAACGTCTGTGAATGGACAGCAGAGGGCAGGGGAGGGGCATAGCTGTTCTGCATGCTTTTCCCCTCTCAGGTCCCTGAGTGTCTCTCCAGCTGAGCAATAAACCTGTCAGATATAAATAATAGAGATAAGACCAGTGGTGGCATGCACCTTGTTGGACTTAACTCATAAGGGGTTATTTACTAAAACTGGTGAGTGGAAAATCTGGTGCAGCTGTGCATGTAAAACCAATCCGCTTCCAGGTTTTTTTAGCCAAAGCTTAACTGATCAAGCTGAAGTTAGAAGCTGATTGGCTACCATGCACAACTGCACCATATTCCGAGTGCTCCAGTTTTAGTAAATCATTTCCATAATGTGCCTACACTTTTTACAAACTTCCAGGAATTCAGCTTTAATGGGCCACATTGTCTCTTACAAACCTTCATCTACATATATGCTTTCTCTTTATTCTTACCTCCCTGTTTGGTCCGAGTGCCGGGGAATCTGTCTCTAAGCAGATATTCTCCAGTGGAATCTGTCTTATTAGCTTCTCTCTCTGGAGAAACAATGAAGCATAAAACAGTTGTAGATCTTAATAATCATGGCTTATACTTTAAGCAGAGAGATGCAGCAAGACTACATCTAACAATCAGGCCTGATCTCAAGCCATAATAGAAAAAAAAACAGTATCCACAGTAATCCATAATAAATTGGTTGCCATTGCTGACCTGCCCAGTTGACATTCTGATACATCAACTTGGGACAAGTGAGGAGATCAAAAAAGTCAGAACTCTTAATCTACATATTTATTCTGAGACAGTAACATAGAAAGTATTGAAGCCATTGGATTAGCATGACAACTAGGGAACTAGTGCTCTCTGAGGTCAGTAGTAATGATGACTTCTTTTATTAACTGCTGTCATCTTCACCCTCACTAATGAGTCACTACCACTGAACAAGTAACCATTGACTTTTTAATGCTTAACCAGCAGCATACTTTTTACAGGTAAATAACTCAATAAAACTCAACTCTAGGCTCAACTACCAATTCCCTATAGCACCCCGAGGATCCCTAGCAGTATTTTATGCTTTTTTTATTACTTACCTTTTTCCAAATTCTTTTGGCCAGTCATGTGATGATTGGGGTCCTCCTCCTTTTCATTCTTCACTTAGCGATGGGTGGACATATGTGCAACTGCAGAATGGATGGACCTTAAAGTGATTGAAAAGGAATTTTTTTTTTGTAAATCTCTACACTTACCTGCTCTGTGCAATTCCATTGCACCGACCCGGAAACTCCTCTTCTTGGGTCACTCACTGGGGCTCCTGACTCCTCCTCTCTGTCCAGTGCCGCTTCCCATGGGTGCACTTGCGCATGCTTGCTCCCGAGCCCTGCTGCTGCGTCCATTGGCACAGACAACAGGACTCAGCCCTGCCCCCACTCCCTCATCATTGGCTTTGATTGACAGCAGAGGGAGCCAATGGCTCCCAAAGCACCAGCAAAGCCAATGAGACACAGAAATGAAGGTAGAGAAGAGATGCAGACATGCACAGCACTGGATCAAATGGGGGCTCAGGTGAGTAAGAGGGGTGTGAGGTCAAAACTGATGCCTAAACATTTTTTACCTTCATGCAAGGAATGCGTGAAGGTAAAAAATGGTTAGGCTTTAGAACCACTTATATGCCCACATGTTGCACTTATGTGTCCAAGGTGGCTGAGGATTCTGTACTGAGAACATGTTCACTGTGTGCTCTCAGCATGAGGAATGAGCCGTCACAGACAGCTTCTGTCCATTGGGATGAGTTCCTGATCATGTGACCACTGAAACAGGCAATCACAGTGATCACATGATTGGGAAGTCCATCCTGCCACCAGGTATTAAGACCTAGTTAAAGGGCTGCTGGGAAGGGGTTAATGATGCTTTGTGATTACATCAGTTCTGTTCTCTATATACCCTTACACAGTAACTGCAGCCTACCATGGGAGTGGGCCCGAGACCCCCTGAACTCATACTATCTTCTTACTCTTTTGAGTTGACTTGAATGATGCTGGCTGCTATTTAACCCAAAAGCCTGGGGACATCTTGGGGCTAAATAACAGCTCTGCGACGGGTGGCTCTGGATTGAAGGTGAGTATAGCAGACTGAACCTGTTTTAATTCTTTTTTACCTACAAGGGGCATTTAAAGAAAAAAAAAACAGCCCAAGGTTTGACTTTAGGTAGTAAAGTCAGGATCAGGACAACAACTCTGTAACTTGCACTAGCCGGAAAAACAAATCCTAAACAAGTTCAGATTTTGTAAGATTCTAAGTTTCTTCTATCATTATGCAACATCCCACAAAACAAATACTAGTTTGTGGTATACTCCTTTTTATTTTATTTGTCAATTATTTATTTCACTAAGCAACTTTTTCCTAGTCCTAAACAGTTGCAATGGGTGCACTAATTGGCTACACATATTACTATCTGATTGTCCAATCTCTCTTTACCAACAACCATGAAGTTCGGGTGACTTCCATGAATGATCTACTCAGTGCATATCCAGTCAAGTAGGCCCTCACACTAAAAAGCTGTGGGAGATTGTAGACACATTTAGGCCAATAACACTCTGTCAATAACAGCAATCAGGGTCACAAAATGCTATTCCTATAGGTTGAGAGATTTCTGACCACCTGTGTCTGAGATGAAGTCAGGAGTATAGGGGCAGGTCATGCAGAGCTATGCAGCTGCCTTGGGTGTGGAAACTCTATACTGTTCTTGGCCGAAGCAGATGCTTGGTTTGATGCCAGAGCTGTGCTTATATTAATATCTTACCTGATTATTTTTGGTAACTGCGGGGGGAAAGGAGAAGAAGTACCCGGCCTTCACACCCTCCAAGGCAGCTGAAGGGCGGCCAGCAAAATTGTGTAGCAAAGCTTTTTCAACACCTGGAATTTATACAGGAACATATCACTACCAACATTAATTAAACCTTCTCCCTCCCCATTTTTCATTTCATATCACTTTATTGAGCTGTGTCAAAAATAAAGCAACGAAACACAATATGGCTGGTAAAAGTAGAATACTGCAGATAGAATCATTTTGTGTCAGTAGAAGCCTAACCTTGGCGTTGGTGGATGTTTATTGCCAAGCTGTGATGACTCAATGGAAAGAAGGACAATGGGGTGGGGGGAATCTACTGTACGTTTGCTCTGAGTTCTCTCTGAGTACACGCAAGAGAATATTTAATGCTAGCAAAGAACCTAACTCCACTATGATCTACATATTTACTTATTTATTGATTATTACAGGTACTTATATAGCGCTGTCAATTTACACAGAACTTTACATATACACTTACCGGCTACTTTATTAGGTACGCCTGTTCAATTGCTTGGTAACACAAATTGCTAATCAGCCAATCACATGGCAGCAACTCAATGCATTTAGACATCTAGACGTGGTGAAGACGACTTGCTGAAGTTCAAACTGAGCATCAGAATGGGGATGAAAGGGGATTTAAGTGACTTTGAATGTGACTTGGTTGTTGGTGCCAGACGGGCTGTTTCAGTGTTTCAAAAACTGCTGATCTACTGGTATTTTCATGCACAACCATCTCTAGGGTTTACAAAGAATGGTCCAAAATAGAGAATATATCCATTGAGCGGCAGTTGTGTGGAAAAAAATGTCTTGTTGATGTCAGAGGAGAATGGGCAGATTGGTTCGAGATGAGAGAAAGGCAACAGAAACCCACATGGAAGAAAAATATATTTGAAATATATTTTAAAAATGTTCTTCCCAAATATATTGACATATATTTGAATTACTACAATTTTGGCCATATTCAATATATTTCAATATATATATATATACTGTATTTTGAAATGCATTTTTATTACAAAATATATGAAATATATTTTTTAAAAATACATTTTCAAATATACTGTATGTCTTTAACCACTAGCCGACAGGGCACTTATACCCCCTTCCTGCCCAGGCCAATTTGCAGTTTTCAGCGCAGTCACACTTTGAATGACAACTGCGCGGTCATGCAACACTGTACCCATATGACATTTTTATCATTTTTTTTTTAGACAGCTAGAGCTTTCTTTTGGTAGTATTTAATCACCTCAGGGTTTTTATTTTTTGCTAAACAAACCAAAAAACAACTGAAAATTTTGAAAAAAAAAGTTCTCTTAGTTTTTGTTATAACATTTTGTAAATAAGTGATTTTTCTCCTTCACTGATGTGTGCTAATGAGCGTGTAGTGATGGGCACTGATAGGCTGCACTGATGGGCACTGATAGGTAGCACTGATGAGGAGGCACTGGTAGGTGGCACTGATGGGCATTGACAGGCATCACTGATGGGCACTGAAAGGCAGCACTCATATATGGCACTGATAGGCAGCACTGATAGGTGGCACTGACAGGCACTGATAGGCGGCACTGATGAGCACTGATAGGCAGCACTGACTGGCACTGATAGGCGGCTCTGAATGGCAGCACTGATAGGTGGCACTGACTGGCATTGATAGGTGGCACTGATTAGCACTGATAGGTGGCACTGAAAGGCAGCTCAGATGGGCACTGACATGTGGCATTGATGTGGCACTGATGGGCACTGACAGGTGGCACTGCTGGGGCTACACTGATCATCAGTTCCCTGATGATAAGTGTACATGTCCCCTCTGAGAGAATGCCAATTACCGGCTCTCCTCTCCTCACAAGCTGTCAGTGTGACAGCTCATGAGGAGAGAAATGCCGATAACCGTCATTTCCTTATTTACATGCGATCATCTGTGATTGGACACAGCTGATCACATGACCGAGCCGACGTCCTCGGCTCTTTCCATTGATCAGTGATCCGCTGTGTCCGAGGGACACAGTGCAGCACCGATCGCCGCGCTGCATGCCCCCGGAGATATATACTGCATGTTGAAATGCATTTTTTATATATTACAAAAATATATGAAAAAATATTTTTAAAAATATATTTTTTTTAAATATATTCTTCCGATTTTTTTAACATATAGAAAAGTAATTTTAACATATATTTTTACATATTTGTAAATGCATTCCAAAAATGTAGATTTGTATTTTTAAAGACATACATTGTATTTTTAAAATTATTTTTCATATATTTTGTAATAAAAATGCATTTCAACATGCAATATATGTATAGAAATATATTGAATATGACCAAAATTGTAGTATTTCAAATATATATTAATATATTTGGGAAGGATGTTTTTAAAACATATTTCAAGTATATTTTTCTTCCATATGGGAACTCATGTCAATATCGACCAAAATCTCTGAGAAATGTTTCCAACACCTTGTTGAATCTATTCCATGAATAATGAAGGCAGTTCTGAAAGAAAAAGGGGGTCCAACCCGATACTAGCAAAGTGTACCTAATAAGGTGGCTGGTGAGTGTATATTGTACATTCACATCAGTCTCTGTCCTCCAGGAGCTTACAATCTAAGGTCCCTAACTCACAATCATACATACACATATTAAGGCCAATTTAGACAGGAGCCAATTACCCTACCAGCATATCTTTGGAGTGTGGGAGGAAACTGGAGTACCCAGAGGAAACCCACGCAAGCAAAGGGAGAACATGCATAAGCCAGGCAGGTAGTGCCATGGTTGGGATTTGAACTGGCAACCCCAGTGCTGACCCTAGGCAGAAATGCTAAGCACTTAGCCACTGTGCTGCCCCATATGTACTTACAATTTTCTCTTAGCACCCCTGCAAAGCCCCACATATACCTGTTGATTCTGTGAACAAGACCACCTTTCTGTGATAGTATGGCAACAGTGCTGCACTGCTCCTGAATTCAGAGTAGAGTTGCCTCTCTCATGTAGGCTGTACCTGCTTGCACTATAGCGGGATGAAATAATTTTGCATGGGTGTGGCTATCAGCCAAGGGGCTGCTGATTCAAAAGCTTGTAGCTTGTCAATCAGCACCTGGCCACACCTAGTCCTGTCCATTGCTTTCTGGATTGGCAGCCCTGCCTCTGTGGCTGAAACCCTCCCACTGTCAGCTGCAGTGTCTGGAAGGGGGAGCATGTTAAATACAACTGAAGGGGCATTTGGCTCGCTCAGGGAAGGTAAAGAACATTTTTTTGTTTACTTTCTGGGTCTTGTGCATCACAAAGTAACTGGATTTGGTACATGTCTAAACTGGCATACAGGAGCCTTTAGTTGTACTTTAACAGTGCAGAGAAGGTGATCCTGGCCCACATACCTCTACCTACCATTGTTAATAATGCTTTCAAGCCTACGTTTATGAAATGAATCTGTAAACCTTACCTTGCTCTTTCAGAAATGCTATTGTTTGTCTTCCAGTTGAGCGAGAATGGACATTTCTGTCAAAATCAGAATGTTAATGTTATAAAGGAAAAAACACTTCTGAAACTGAGAGAAGCAAAACAAGACCACATCATCCTTTTTAAATAAACTTTTTTTTTCCTGAAACTTACAGTGTTCCAAACTTCCAACTGCCATCTATATATGCAGAATTCGACTCTATATTCCTTTAAGGGATCTCTCCTACTCAGCATGTAATAACTAAACCAGGAAAAAAATCTCAGCTTGCATAGCGGAATTTGCAAAAAGTGGGCAAAGACACAATTTTTTGCAGACATGAAATTCCCTTGCCATACATGGTTTAACACGTAAATAGGAGAGGAAGAAGTCTAATCAAGAACCATAGGCTGCTCTACGGAGGGTAAACTAAGCTTCCCATGACCCTACCCCTTGTAGAGTGGCTCTTTCGCCCCATGGCAATTTGTCTTTATTTCTATGTACTCACTGAATACTGCCTGTGAGGCAATACCGTCCTTCTGTTTATGGTTGGATATCTCAAACTGGTCCACTTGCAGGCTAAAGGCGTTTATATTCTTTTTTTTTCTATATTGCAGGGCTTGAAAAAGCCGCTCACCCGCTCGCCAAATGCGAGGAGAAATTCCTCTGTGGCAAGCGGTGAGCGGCTGCAAGCACAGATGAAGAAGCATGAAGTGACTGCACATGCGCTCCAAGCCTCATTGTGAGTTCTGGTTTACAACCTCCGCGGCATCGCCATTACAGTAGCAGCGCTGCTGAGGGGACATGTGCAGGAGAGGTCCGCTCTCCTACACTGAGAGGAGACACCCTCTCCACTGCCGTGGGGGACTCGAGGCCCGCTCTCAACCCCCTTGGGGAACACGAAGCCCGCTCTACAACTCCTTGGGGGACACGAGGCCTGCTCTCCACCGTCTTGGGGGACACGAGGTCCGCTCTCCACCGCCTTGGGGGACACGAGGCCCGCTCTCCACCGCCTTGGGGGACACGAGGCCCGCTCTCCACCGCATTGGGGGACACGAGGCCCGCTCTCCACCGCATTGGGGGACACAAGGCTCGCTCTACACACCGCCTTGGGGGACACGAGGCCGGCTCTACAAAACCCTGCTATTGTATGTAAATTTTCAAGAAAGATTAACCATAACTAAGAGACAACTGTCCGTCCTCGAACCCTGTGGCAGCCTTTTGTGTAAATTGGCCAATGCTGAAGCAGGACATGAGTAGTTAACAGATCCTTCCATCTTCTTCCTTGAGAAAAGAAATATCAACATCCACTCCCATAGAGGCTTCGGCCCCATGTACATGGGACACTTCTGAACAATGGAAACTGACTGCAGGAAAACATAGGTTAAAAAACGTCTGTTTAGCTGCATTTGCATAACGCGGTTATGCACGTTTATGTGCTTTTGCGTTTAGAAGTGTTTTTTAAAGCTGAGCACAAGAGAACCTCCCAAATGCCCAGAATGCACTGAAAAGTGGTAAATTAATAACTATTTCAGACTGTTTCAGAGAAATACAGAGAGTAGGCGCAGAGACAGCAGTATGTGTTGAAATTAGCTTAGGTTTTTGTTGCTCCTTAACATTTCTTTTGTTTCCAATTGAGGGAAAGGTGTCTGGTGGAGTGAGTCATTAAGGTCACCTGGCAGGGGGAATTTGAGGTGTGAATGATCATTAACATATCTTTTGTTTCCAAGGGTGGGAGAGGTCTGAAGTGTGAATTGGTCATTACAATGTGTGAGGAGCTTGGTAGAAACATCCTGTTTTCAGTGTTTTGTCCATCTGAGTACCTTGAAAAAGCTTTGCATGCATTTTTCATGATTAAATTTACAGCATCAGGAAGTGGAAGAGTTAAAAAAAATTTCAGACGCAAACGCTTATAAACGCGATTTGCCACGTTTACAAGCATTTTGCATTTGAAATGCTGATAAAATCGACTGCTGAATGCACGTTTTTTTTTTTTTAAAACTGCTGTAAATTCAAATGCCTGTAAATGACTGTAAACAAAGATGTGTACATGGACACATAGGAAAACATTAGGGAGAGTTCAGGGGCTGCTGAAAAAAACGCTGAACAGCTCCTAAACGTGAGTTTATCAGCTGCAGTGTACATGAGCCCTTACTGTTGTTTGTGTAGCCCAAGCTATCCTATAGAGATGAACCAATGCCAATGAGCTATGCATTGCTGGGGCTGCAAAGAGTTCAGGTCAGGCTACTTGGTCCTTTAAGACTTTTGGATTCCAGTCTGCTAGGGGCTACACAAAAGAAATCTGATTGCTGTAAAAATAATTACCTTCCTTTCAACTATTTTGCCCATCTAACTCAATGTGCATAATACAATTCCAAAGGATTTGTACATTTTGCTATGTTACCCTTCTTTACTGTTATTTTATTATTTCTAAACAATTTTAATTTTACAGGAAAACATTTTTACAGGGTTCTATTGAAACAGTACAGAAGAGAATGCTTGCTTTCAGACTTTGTGTCTCTAACTGAATCTCGATAGGACCCCTGGGTGGGGAGAGAGGCAGGCAGGGGGGAGAGAGGGCAATAAGACATTCATGTTATGACTCATTCAGTTTGTGTATAAATTAGTGTGAGCTATGGGGGTCTGTAAGCAATGTGAAAAGTGAAGGAATTAAAAGGGAACTATAATGGTTTAATTTTAATTATTTTAAAGGTTTTTTTTTTTTTTTTTATCGATGCTTTATATCTGTACGATTCACCGTAGACAAAATCTTTCATTTACAAACCGGCATATAATAGACAACCCAGGATTTTCTGAGCACTATGGGTCATCCAAAGAAAGAGTACAGCAATAGGTATCTCCTTTCAGAAAATTATGACTCTCACTGAAACTTTGGACAGGGTGTACAGGAGGGAGAAGTGATAAGGGGAAGGAGTCACTGCTCTGACTCCTTCATTTGTGCCTGTACATTTAAGTTTCAGCTACTGAACTCTGTAAACAGTAGGATTTTTTTCAACAGAGGGACTAAGGAAATTGTGCAAATGAGCCTAAAGCTCCACTTGACTGGTAATATACAGTACATATGAAATATTTATGTGCAGTATTCCATATTAACCTGACTATATTCTATATAGTATACATTCTATGCATGAAGGTAAAAAACCTTCTCTGTGTGCAGCTCCCCCAGCTCCCTCAATACTTACCTGAGCCCCATTGCGATCCAGCAATGTGCACGACATCCTTGGCTGTCCCGGGTCTCTGCCTCCTCATTGGCTGAGACAGCAAGCGGTAGCCATTGGCTCCCACTGCTGTCGATCATAGCCAGTTAGCCAATGAATAGAGAGTGTGGGCGGGGCCATGCCACGGCTCCTTGTGTGAATGGACACAAGGAGCAGCGGGTGCCCCCGTAGCAAGCTGCTTGCTGTGGGGGCACCCAACAGAAAGGAAGAGCCAGGAGTGCAGGCAGGGGACTTGAGAAGAGGAGGATCCAGGCTGCTCTGTGCAAAACCACTACACACAGCAGGTAAGTATAGACATGTTTGTTATTTTACAAGAAAAAAAAAATTAACCTTTAGTATTTAAAGCAAATACCTACTTACATTTTTAGCCTTGTACATAAAAACAATTACAAAAACACTATAAATCCCCTTTAATACATATTTCAGAAGTTCATACTGACACAGGCAGATCCAATCTTTTTGCAAAATCCAGCTGTAGCTTTAAAACTTTTATCTGCTCTTCCTTCTCTCTAGCAGTTGGAGTAAGCCAAGGAGTGAAGTCTAAGCCGATCTATGTACAAAAGAAAGAGGACACATTTTTTAAAAATGACAATAGATATGGGTGCTATACATGAGTTCAGGGCCATGCCAGGGGCAGGTGGTCCCTGAGGCAGTCATTTTGCCAACTACAGTTCCTCACCGTTGTTGGGCACAGGTGGCCACATACACCATAACAGTCAATGATGCTAAGGGGCCCAGGGGCTAAACATACAGAAAGCTTAAAATGCACTAAGAACAGAGTGTATGATATGGGCGCTCCGGGCCTCAGTGCCACAACCCACTGTGCCTCCATGAGTGCCATCTGAGGCACCTCAGATCAGGGCTTGAGTGGATGAAGGAGAAGATTGACAGACATAGGCAAGAAACACAGATTTAGCTCTTTTAAACACAAACTATATAAGTTTATGGTCTATTTTGCCAACCCCCAAAACAAGAATGTACTGCACTATACTATGGTATTGCATTGTACCAGTCCTTAGATGTGGAAGCTGCATTAGTTTTCTTTTTTAATGTTTTCCCCTTTTATTTCACCTGGTAATTCTTGGAAGTGCCCGCTCACTATTCTCTATCCATGGAAGAGGCCAAGGTTGCCATCCAGTCTGTTTGCCTTTGTTTATCAAAATTACATGGGGGGGGGGGGGGGTGAGGAGATCAGTAGTTTACTGAAGGAAGAAAAAAATGTTTTATGCTTCTAGATCTGCTCACAGACTGCAACAAGGACACTTCATTTCTGGCAGGATCAACAGGTATTTTCTGTACTTGCTGAAAATTATCTTAGCCTGAACACTTAAACTAATGCAGCTAACAAATCTACGAACTGGAATATTGCAATATATTATTATTATTATTATTATTATACAGGATTTATATAGTGCCAACAGTTTACACAGCACTGTACAATATAAGGGGGACAGTACAATTACAATACAGTTCAATACAGAAGAAATTTTTGTTCTTGGGTTTAGTTATTATTTAGTTGTTTTTACCAGATAAATTATATTTTAATTACACTTATAAACACGGAATACAGTATGTATTTATGACATGATGTTTGCAGAGCCTTCTGGGTTGTTTAATAAGGAGTGTTGTTCACTTGGGCTGCCTCTTAGTGAGAGTAGAAAATGTCCCATCATCAGTGGGAGTAGACTCAGACTTCGTGGTCGGTGGGATTAAAAAAATTACATAGTGCCTGTGGTCAGTAAGAGGAGGAATAGTGCTCCTTCATTGCTATTAGTTGGAGGATTAGTGCTCAATCGTTGGTGTCAGTGGGAGGAATAGTGCCCCATTGCTGGTGATAGTGGAAGGTATGGTTCATCATTGTTGGTGTCAGTGGGAGGAATAGTGCTCCATCATTGGTGTCAGTGGGAGGAATGGTGCCCCATCATTGGTGTCAGTGGGAGGAATAGTGCCCCATCATTGGTGTCAGTGGGAGGAATAGTGCCCCATTGCTGGTGATAGTGGAAGGTATGGTTCATCATTGTTGGTGTCAGTGGGAGGAATAGTGCCCCATCATTGGTGTCAGTGGGAGGAATAGTGCCCCATTGCTGGTGATATTGGAAGGTATGTTTCCTCATTGTTGGTGTCAGTGGGAGGAACCTTATTATTATTATACAGGATTTATATAGCACCAACAGTTTGCGCAGCGCTTTACAATATAAAGGGAGACAATACAGCTACAATACAATCCAAACAAGATGATTAAGAGGGCCCTACTCATAAAAGTTTACAATCTAACAGGGTGGGGCAAGTGGTACAAATGGTTATAACTGTGGAGGATGAGCTGATGGAAGTGATGTCTATCCGAAGGCATGATAGGCTTCCGTGAAGAGATGAGTTTTCAGGGATTGCCTAAAAGCAGCCAGAGTAGGGGATAGCCGGACAGATTGAGGTAAAGAGTTCCAGAGGATGGGAGAGGCTCTGTCAAAGTCTTGGAGACGAGCATGGGAGGAGGAGACAAAGGAGCTTGTGAGCAGGAGATCATGAAAGGAGCGGAGAACATAGCCACATGGGCCAGATAAAGGCATGCAAAAGGCAAAAGTCACAGATTGGAAACCATCGAGATAGTCCCTGTTCACGTACATTGCAGTGACAGGAATTTTTACACATTTGAAGACAGTCACTGCTAGGACACAGAGAAAACATTTGTTTTCTATGTGCCCTGTTCACATTGCAATGCAGCCTGAAGCTGCAATAAAATTCAGATATGTACTGTAAGTGCAGTAATATGCACTTTATTGCAGCCAACAGAAAAGGGCCACATGTCACTGTACAGCAGTGCAGCACACCACACCGCTGTATGAATGAAGTCTCACATAAAGGTCACACACAAAAAAAAGGGAGCTGTGTGATGCAATAAAACATGTATTACAGCACCCTCTATCACTGGCTCACTGCAGCTGCAATGGAAAGCTGCCCACACAATAAACAGCTGCAGCTTAGTGTGTGGCCAGTGTGAACCAACCCTTGGAGGATCAGGTGTACCAAAGAGTTGACTTCACAAATTTGCAAGGAAGATTCCTATTCTTGTTCCTGTCCCATACAAACTCCAAATAAATCAATTTTGTGTTATTATTATTTAATATCTAAACTGCCAAGATATATATTCATCCTGTTACTGGCACATGTTTTACACTTCCTTACCTCTCCAATAGCAACTAGATCTTTTTGGCACTTTTCAAACCATATAAGAGCGGGCTCCAAATCCTTCAAATAAATAGACAATAAAGTAAAGACATGAAGACATTTATAAAAAGGAAAATACAGTGTACTTTTAAGCGAGCATTTACATTGAGTTGTTATTGCCATGTTTTCCTCATAGTGAACCTGTATATTGCCCATATTTATTTATTAATGACAGGTACTTATATAGCGCCGTCAACTTACGCAGTGCTTTTTACATATATACAGTATATTGTAGATTCCCATTAGGCCCTAACCCTCAAGGGGCATACAATCTAAGGACCCTAACTTACATTGATACATACACATACTAGGGCCAATTTAGACAGGAGCCAATTAACTTACCAACATGTCTTTGGAGTGTGGGAGGAAACCGGAGTACCCGGAGGAAACCCATGCAGGCACAGAGAGAACATGCAAACTCCAGGCAGGTGGTGCCGAGGTTGGGATTCAAGCCAACAACCCTAGTACTGCCAGGCGGAAGTGCTAATCATTCAGTCACTGTGCTGCCCCCATATATTTGGTATCAGAGCTAATAAAGGGCTGAAATGTTGGTTCAATCTCTACTCCTAAACAATGTCACATGGGTAAGTCACATGCTTACCCAGGACAAGTACCAGGTAATACCACCGCTCTTGGCAGCTGAACAGAGCAGCAGGGGAGAAATGTGAATATATATTGCTGGGGGCATGGAGGAATTCATATGGAGATGCTTGCTTTGTCCTGCATAGACAAAACACAGGTTTCCTTTAAGCCTAGGTTCACACTGATGCGATGCAAATCTGATGCGATTTTACAGTGCGATTTCACAGTGCGATATTTGTTGTGACAGGTGCGGTTCTAATGGGAGTTAATGTCATTTCTGAGGGGATTTGGCATAGCAGGAGATACAATTTTTTAACCAGATCAGAATCACACCGCATAGATGTGAACGGCTTTCATAACAAACAATGTTTTTTCAGATGACATGTGCACCTATCTATGCCTTTCAGATCAGATCTAATCCACGTAGAATTTGCATCAGTGTGAACCAGGACTTAAAGCAGAATTCCAAGCAAAAAATGTTTGTACTATGCAGTGGGTCTGTGCCTGCACTGCATGGGCTGACTGCTCATTTGTGTCTAGGGGTGATAAGTGCAAAGATATACTTACCTATCCTGCCAATCCTCCGAGCGCAAGACCGGTCCCTGCCGCTTCTGCCTCCATGCACGCTAGCAGTCTTGTGATTGGACTGTTCCTGATGTCATCACACCTATAAACTGGCTCCAGGCATGAGGACGCAAAGAACAGTCCACCACTGGACGTGGGGGAGCGCCGTTTTTGGAAGGTTCAAAGGACATGGTAAGTATAGTCTTTTGGGGTTCCCATGGACAAAACGAACAGGTAACCTATGCAGTGCAGGCACAGCCCCACTGCATGGGACAAAAAAAATTTACATGGAGTTCCGCTTTAAACTCCAACAAACATTAAAATTCTCATGTGGTGCTGCACTCACACTGCAAGGGTTAACTGTTTTCTTAGGTCTAGAGAACATCGAAAAGCAGATTTATTTACTCTGATCTTCGGCCCATCCATGCTGCTAGACCAGTGCTTGCACCGTCTTCTCCCCATGCTCCAACGATCTAAAGTCCTTTGGTGTTATCAAGACCAATGCAGGGACCATAGCTCTGCACTAGACATGAACATGCAAAAGAACAGTCCACCGCTGGAGAATTAGGGGAGCGCCATCTACTGTGGTAGTGTAGGATCAGGTAAGAAAAACTACTTTGATTCCCCCATATATTAAAGGAGCAGTGGAGCAGCTCTGCAAAGGAAGACATGGAAAAGCAAATTTATTTAATCTGATCTTCAGCTCATCCATGCTGCTAGACCAGTGCTTGCACCGTCTTCTCCCCATGCTCCAGCGATCTAAAGTCCTTTGGTGTTATCAAGACCAATGCAGGGACCATAGCTCTGCACTACACATGAACATGCAAAAGAACAGTCCACCGCTGGAGAATTAGGGGAGCGCCATCTGCTGTGGTAGTGGAGGATCAGGTAAGAAAAACTACTTTGATTCCCCCATAGATTAAAGGAGCAGTGGAACAGCTCTGCAAAGGAGAATTTCCAGATTTCCAGGGTTTGGCGTTGAACCCTTTCACTGCCTAATTAATTTACAGCTGGTGCCCAGGCCTGGATTCAGACATTTGTTGTGTTTTAGTTGAGATAAGAGGCTCTTCTGAAGTTTGTATAAAGTTATGGCTACAAATTCCATAGTTTGCAGGAGGAGGGGGGGAGATCACTGTTCATGAAAAAGAAAATGACTGAGACCTTAACAAGATGGCTGCCACCTACAGCTTCCATGTCCCTATAGCTCACAATCATTACAAGGAGTTCTGACTTTGCCCTTAAAGTGATTGTCAAGGCTTATTTTTTTTTTTAAATTAAAAAAAAAATAAAAATGTAAGAAAAAAATAACAAACATGTCGTCTATACTTACCTGCTGAGTGTAGTGCTTTTGCACAGAGCAGCCCAAATCCACCTCTTCCTGGGTCCCCCACTACTGGCTATTCCCTCTTGTCGGGTGCCCACACAGAAAGCAGCTTGCTATGGGGGCACCCGCTGCTCTGTGTATCCATTCACACACGGAGCCGCAGCTCGGCCCCACCCCCTCTCTCTTCTCATTAGCTCACTGGCTGTAATTGACAGCAATGGGAGCCAATGTCTCCCGCTTCTGTCTCAGCCAATGAGAAGATGGAGTCCAGGGATAGCCGGGACTCCAATGGTCATCGCTGGATCGAGAGGGGGCTTAGGTGAGTGTTGGGGGGGGGGGGCTTGGGAGGATGCTGCACAGAGAAGGTTTTTTACCTTCATGCATAGAATGTATGAAGGTAAAAAAAACCTTGAGCCTTTACAACCACTTTAATTTACTATAATGATGTATATAATCATGTCCCATGTCAGTAAATCAAGCCAGAGGTTTAGCATAACTGATGGGCAATTTGTTAAAAGACAAATCTATGGAAACAATGGATTTCTGCAGAAATTAGCATTTCTTAGAAAAAAAAACTGATAGTTCAAATAGTTTGGGACTGAATAACACAGTTCAATTACAAAGAAAAAAGTCTAAGAAAAGGGTTTCCTAAAAGGAACCCACACTGGGAAAAACATGTAAGCTGCCACTGCTTTCTATGTAAAAATACCAATTGCCTGGCTGTCTTTGGGTTCAATACTTTATGGGTCACTGACCCAATACAATCATGTAAGTCAAATCAGAACTTTCAATGTGAAAACTTATTTTAGGCAAGTTACTTAGAAGGTAATGAAGTCACAATATCAGCATTTTCAGAAAGAGATGTCATCATGCTACCCCCCACATATCATATAGTACAGTTTTTATTTAGAATTTTGGTAGTTTTTTATAGACTGCGAGGCTATCCTAGCTAGCATAAAGTAAGCTATAGCTGCAACTCTGCCAAAAGCTCCAACAACAGAGGACACTGAATAGAAACTACTAGATAAATGACATAACAATCACACTGACCGATGTGGCTGGCTGTCCTTAAATATACCGACCTTCATTGTAACACTGCGCGGGCCATCTCCATTATTCTGAATAGGGTGAACCCCAAAACATGGCATCAAAAAATCTGGATAGCTGTAAAATGAATTTAAAAAAATCAGGATACTTATAGAACAAAGGATTCACCAATAAACTAGAATCTCAAGGTGAGGAAATATGGAAGTGTGGCGAATATGGTTCAAACCTCTTTCTTACTGACCATTGTGTATTGACCAAAGTTGTGTTAGAGGCCATATGAAATAAAGTAGAATTAAAGGCAAACTTTTTTTTCTTGGATTGAGTAAGGGAGGATTATAACCTCTGTCATTTTTATTTTTGCTGTTTGTGTCCCATTGGGGAGATTTCCCTTCACTGCCTGTCCCATAGCCAAAACAGGAAGTGATAGCAAATCCCTCCAAAGTGATGGAAACCCTGGTTGTCACCAGAACTACTGTCTCCATTGGAAGATTCCTCTTTGTGGCTGATTCAGAGCACAGACGGGTTTGTGCAGATAAAGGCACATTGAGGAAGATTTCTGCCAGATCCATGCATCGGATCAAGAAAGCAGCTGCTAAACTACCATTACATAGTAGCAAACAGATATTTGAAGCTGCTGGTGCCTCTGGAGTCCCACGGACATCAAGGTGTAGAGTCCTCCAGAGTCTTGCTACTGTGCATAAAAACCTTCTATTCGGCCACCACTAACCAATGCTCACAAGCAGAAACGTCTGCATTGGGCAGAAAAATACATGAAGACTAATTTTCAAAAAGTCCTGTTCACTGATGAGGGCCGTGCAACCCTGGATGGTCCAGATGGATGGAGTAGTGGATGGTTGGTGGGCGGCCACCCTGTTCCAACAAGGCTGCGACGTCAGCAAGGCAGTGGTGGAGTCATGTTTTGGGCCGGAATCATGGGAACAGAGCTGGTCAGCCCCTTTAGGGTCCCCGAAGGTGTAAAGATGACCTCTGCAAAGTATGTGGAGTTTATGACTGACCACTTTCTTTCCTGGTACAGAAGGAAGAACTATGCTTTCCGTAATATAATCATCTTCATGCATGACAATGCACCATCTCATGCTGCAAAGAATATCTCTGCATCAATGGCTGCTATGGGGATAAAAGGAGAGAAAGTCATGGTGTGGCCTCCATCCTCCCCTGACCTCAATCCTATTGAGAACCTTTGGAGCATCCTCAAGCAAAAGATCTATGAGGGTGGGAGGCAGTTTACATCCAAACAGCAGCTCTGGGAGGCTATTCTGACATCTTGCAAACAAATTCAAGTAGAAACTGTCCAAAAACTCACAAGTTCAATGGATGCAAGACTTGTGAAGCTGCTATCAAATAAGGGGTCCTATGTTACAATGTAACGTGACCTGTTAAAATGTTTAAAAAGTTAAAATGTTGTTAAAAAATTTGATTGAAATAGCTTTTGATTTCAGTAAATATGCTGCAAACACAACAAATGACAATTTTCAGTTCTTTACAACCTATAAAGTGTTTTGAAACTTACTGTGCGTAATAATTTGGAACAGTGCATTGGAAGGTTTTTATGTTTTTAAAAAAATACTGTTATCATTAGGAGGTTTGTTCAATAAAATGTGAATTGTACTCCTAATAGTTGATAACATGAGAATTATGCTGACTGTTATTTACATCAATTATTTAGGTAAATGAGAAAAATATATCATTTGCATAATAATTTGGAACACGGTGTATATGGAATATACACTGTGGAACTTAAGGGGTTAATCCTCTGCATTGTGTAAAAAAGTTGTTTGAGCCTGTCTTCTCTTATCCTCCCCTTCTTCTACTGCCCCCAGTTCATCTGCTGATAGTACAGAGCTCTAGGAGTCACTCTGCACATGCTCAGTTTTGTGTGCATTGCAAGAGAGTTTTTCTTTCCTTTGGGAGAATGCATGTGATCAGCACACGGCCAATCAGCACTGTCCAGACAGAGGGTCAGGAGTTAGGCAGCTTCATAGGACAGTCAGAGCAGAATGAAAAACTTCTCCTACAAGCTTCAACCAGTGCTCAGCTGGACACTGATAGAAGTCACAAGAGTGCTCTAACTGCTGATGAGAAAGGGTATTTATCAGTTTTTATTATTGACATAATTGCATTTCCATGTTGTGTGTACTGTGGGAGATCAGATATAGTGAATGCAGGTCCGGGGAGATCAGATATATAGTGAATGCAGGGTGCGGGGAGATCAGATATAGTGAATGCAGGGTCCGGGGAGACCAGATATAGTAAATGCAGGGTCCTGGGTTTAGTAATACTTTATTGTACAAAACATGGGGCTGGTAGGCGTTTACACTGCTCATGTGATTTATCATTATTATATCTTGATTTAGTTATCAGCAGTGCAGCACTTTTCTATTCATTTAACATTTGTTGGTGTGGGAACACATTCTAGGTGCTTGCAGCAGCTTGAGTAGTTAGGCTTGAGGTATATCAGATATTGTTGGCAGAGCTGAGATTCTCTTCTTTTGTAATGTACAAAACATGATCTTTTTTCCAATGCAGTGCACAGCATGCAGGTTGTGATGCTCTGCAGTGTGGGTGTGTTTCCCAGTACTGTAGTAGTACAGCATTGAAAAACACTGCAGTTCATGCGTTGACTAACAGTAATGCGCAGTAAAATATTCATTATGCCCATATTCCTGAAATTCCACAAACAAGAAAATACTGCATTATGGCCATTATGGGGAATATTTGCAATTGTTAAGTTAACAACACCCCCCGAAAGCGGTTTACAAAACGCGGTGCAATGTGCAGAATCGGATAACATAGGTGTGAATACCCATGCGATCCGATTCTAGTGCAGACCCAAAAAAGGATCCTGCACCTTTTGGGTTCAGGTGCAGTGCGATTAAATCCATAGAAAATGTATGGCTCCAATCGCACCGCACACAAATCGCATGTGATTTGCACAGGAATGTGGTGCGGTTCCTGTTCAAATCACATGCAATATACCGCACCGCATATATGTGAACCCGGGCTTAATCAATTTAGGAAATCTGCACATTGGCTGGTACCACTGTCTTTGGAACAGAAGCACTGGCAATGCTCAGCTGAACCCTCTGCATACCTTTCTGAAAGTTGAATGAGCCTTTCAAACTCTCGGCAGTGTTCTGTAACAGAAACAAGAGCGCGGATTCCTTCCTAGACAAAACCAAAAAAATCAGTACGTGATAAAAGTATTGTTATTGTATATTTGACTCCTGACATAAAATCATGGCCTTGCTTACCTTCCTTGATCTCTCTAGAATTTCCTTTGTGTCCTTGAAAAGGAAATGGCATCTGTTAGTTATAGTTGTTTTATAAACACACAAAAAAAGAAGCACAGCGGGGGCCCTCTGTTTTTTTATTTTTTTGCTTATTTATTCAATTGTTAATTTAAAACAAACATTTGTTGCTAATTTGGATAACTTCCGAATGAATGAATGATGACAGGCCAAATCAATGGAAAGGAAATATCAATGGTGTAGATGTAGAACATCCCAGGACCGGGCATAAGAGAGGGATGTAGACGATGACCTGGGGAGATTTTTTTGCCCTTTTAACCCTCTGATCGGTTGCACGGAGGTGCAGCCAGTAAATTGGTCAGGTTCATAGACCATCACAAATACAGTAGTGCAATGCATACTTTCAAATATTATTCTGAACACATATAAAGCTTACAGATTCCCATCCCCAGGATATACACTATATTGCCAAAAGTATTGGGACACCTGCCTTTACACGCACATGAACTTTAATGGCATCCCAGTCTTAGTCTGTAGGGTTCAACATTGAGTTGGCCCACCCTTTACAGCTGTAACACCTTCAACTCCTCTGGGAAGGCTGTCCACAAGGTTTAGGAGGGTGTCTATGGGAAGGTTTGACCATTCTTCCAGAAGCACATTTGTGAGGTCAGGCACTGATTTCGGATGAGAAAGCCTGGCTCTCAGTCTCCGCTCTGATTTATTTAAAATATGTTCTATCGGATTGAGGTCAGGACTCTGTGCAGGCCAGTCAAGTTCCTCCACTCCAAACTTGCTCATCCATGTCTTTATGGACCTTGCTTTGTGCACTGGTGTGCAGTCATGTTGGAACAGGAAGGGGCCATCCCCAAACTGTTCCCACAAAGTTGGGAGCATGAAATTGTCCAAAATGTCTTGGTATGCTGACGCCTTAAGAGTTCCCTTCACTGGAACTAAGGGGCCAAGACCAACCCCTGAAAACCAACCCCACATTATAACCCCCCTCCACCAAACATTACACTAGGCACAATGCAGTCAGGCAAGTACCGTTCTCCTGGCAACCGCCAAACCCAGACATGTCCATCGGATTGCCAGACATAGAAGTGTGATTCGTCACTCCAGAGAACACGTCTCCATTGCTCTAGAGTCCAGTGGCAGCGTGCTTTATACCACTGCATCCGATGCTTTGCATTGCACTTGGTGATGTAAGGCTTGGATGCAGCTGCTCAGCCATGGAAACCCATTCCATGAAGCTTTCTACACACTGTTGTGCTAATGTGGAGTCCACATGAAGTTTGGAGGTCTTTAGCTATTGACTCTGCAGACAGTTGGTGACTTCTGCATACTGTGCGTTTCAGCATGTGCTGACCCCGCTCTGTCCTATTACATGGCCTACCAGTTCGTGTTCCCAGTTGCTTCCACTTTGTTATAATACCACTAACAGTTGACCGTGGAATATCTAGTAGCCAGGAAATGTTATGGATGGACTTATTGCAATGTGGCAACCTATCACAGTAGCACACTTAAATTCACTGAGCTCCTGAGAGCGACCCATTCTTTCACAAATGTTTGTAGAAGCAGTCTGCATGCCTAGGTGATGATTTTATACACCTGTGGCCATGGAGGTGATTGGAACACCTGAATCCAATGATTTGGAGGGCTGACCCAATACTTTTGGCAATACAGTGTATATCCAATTGTTAATATCACAGCTCTCATCTTGCTAAACTATACCCTAAGGAGGAAGAAACAAAGTAATGAAAACTTCCTGAATCCCCCAGGGAAGCAAGCACATGTAGCCCTTAGGCTCCGTTCACACCTAGGAGTTTTGTATTCGAAAATGCTTGTGCATATGTCATTCATTTTCAATGGGACCTAAATCAGTGGTACTCAACCTTCCTAATGCCGCGACCCTTTAATACAGTTCCTCATGTTGTGGTGACCCCCAACCATAAAATTATTTATCCAGTAATTATAATTCATGAGTGTCGTTTTACCTCCAATACTGCTGCTTTCAACACAGTAGCTGCTTTTAACAGAGTAGCTGCTTTCAACACAGCAGCTGCTTTCTACACAGTAGCTGCTCTTTACACATCGGAAATATGTGTTTTCCGATGGTCTTAGGCGACCCCTGTGAAAGGGTTGTTCGACCCCCAAAGGGGTCGCGACCCACAGGTTGAGAACCACTGACCTAAATGCAGGTGTGATTCTGCAGCGACTGTCTCGTGATAAATCACAGCAAATTGTATCACGCGAAGTTTGTCGGCCAAAAAGGAGCAGGAGCTTCTTTTGGGGTGACAAGCTTCACATGATGCAGTTTGTGCGATTGCAGCATGATTTATCACACTACAATTGCGGCAGAATTGCAACGTGTTTTAGGTGCCATTGAAAATACACGACACCTGGACAAGTATGGTGCAATTTGTAAATTTTGCAGATCAGTTTGGGATACCGGGCGGAATCACAGCGATTCTGCTCACAATACCAAACGCCTAGATCTGAATGAAGCCTTAATCCTGGCCCATCCAGTGGTTGCAGCATGGCTGGACAGCTCACCCATTGGCTCCCGCTGGTGTCTCAGCCAATGAGGAGGGAGAGTCCCCGGAGAGCTGAAGTTCTTGTGCACATTGCTGGATCACAGTGGGGCTCAGGCAAGTATTTGGGGGGCTGCTGCACACCTAAGGGGTTTTACCTTCATGCATAGAAGCATACCTTTACAACCACTTTAACCATTTGCCTACCGGGCACTTTCACCCCTTTCCTGCTCAGGCCAATTTTCAGCTTTCAGTGCTTTCGCACTTTGAATGACAATTGCGCAGTCATGCAACACTGTACCCATATTACATTTTTATAATTTTTTTCACACAAATAGTGCTTTCCTTTGGTATTTAACCACCACTAGATGTTTTATTTTTTGCTAAAAAAATGATAAAAGACTAAATATTTTGAAAAAAAAAAATCCATGTTTTTCTTAGTTTCTAATATAAAATTTTGCAAACAGGTAATTTTTCTCTTCACTGATGTGCGCTGATGAGGCTGCACTGATGGGCACTGATAGGCTGGACTGATGGGCATTGATGAGGGGGCACTGATGAGGTGGCACTGATGTGCAGGCACTGATGAGGTGGCACTGGTGGGCACTGATGGGCAGCACTGATTGGCATTGATAGGCAGCACTGATGGGCGCTGTTGGGGCTACACTGATAATCAAGGCACTGATAACCAAGGCACTGATTATCAGTGTAGGTGTCCCCTTTCACACTTGCTGGTTATCCACAGTACTTTCCTCATGCTGAGACAGCATGAGGAAAGTGCTGTTGATAACTGGCAAGTGTGTTTACATCGGGATCAGCTGTGATTGGGCATAGCTGATCACGTCGTAAAGGGCCGCTACGATAGGCACTGTACCATGATTTGTGATTACCTCTGGCCGACCACAAGGATAAAGCAATCACAGAGAGTGCCGAGTGCTCAAAGCAGCTGGCACAGTTCAATACACACCCTCCCAGAACTGGACGACCGCGATGCATCCGTCATTCGGCTATAGGGCAGTTGGCAAGTGGTTAAATGGTCACAGTATACACTTTCATTTTATAACAATACAAATAATAGTTATATTTTTGACAATCCAATGCATATCTTTTTTGCAATAAAACCCTGACTGCTCGTCAGTTCCACTTTAAAGAAAATCTCTCAATGTGAGGGCAATTCGCCTCTTAGTAGTCACTGGAACAGGTGTCCACATTGGAAGATCCTCCCTCACCTCTTGTTCTGGTAACAACTCTAAAATCTGCCCAGTGGTGACACAGGCAACAATAAGACCTGACAGGGGGTCTATCTTATCTGACTGATCCCATATTACTGTACAGGAAAATAGGAGACTATAAACAGATTACTGTCATGTGAATGGGTGAAGTCGCTCTCACCAAGGCGGGAGTTAAAGCCTTTGATGACCATGTGTAACGACCAATTAACCCCTTGGCGCTGGTGCCTCCCCCGACGCTTTAAGGGTTCCAGAAGCCGGGATTTTAGGGTCATGTGACCACCGTGATTCACTGTCACAGCGGTCACATGTTCGGGAAAGGTCCTGATCGAAAGAGGACATCGGGACCTTTCCATGAGTACGGAATGTGTGTGCTGGGAGCGCGCGGGGCGAGCGCTCTCAGCACATGTTTTTTTTAATAGAAAGCAAATGTGCGGCCGCTTGGCGTTTAGGTCCAGACTACTGGGAGGCCGCACATTTGCGTTCAGCCGGCGCCAAGAGGTTAAACTTTATGAAATGTCTCTGTGTGCCCTCGTGTTCCTGAGACAACTCAAAACTCTAAATCTTTTTTTTTTATCACTTTCCGTACAATGATCATCATCAGATAACTGTAACCAGGACAAATAAGAGCAACTCACCCTAATGGGGGCACAGACAGCAATAAAAACCTGACAAGGGCTCTAATCCCTCTCCACTCTAATAAAGAATACTACTACAGGGTGGCAGGGGTGAGCAAATATATACCTGATTTTGCATTTACGGGTAGGGGGTACATGCGCCTACCCGCGCCGCCATTCGCGGCCTCGGCTGTCAATCACTGGGTCCTGGCACCCTGTGATCGCCGAGTAATACCGACGGGGGGGGGGGGGAGAGACCTGTATGTAAACAATAGCCAGAGCTATACAAAGCAGTGTGCTTACAGTGGAAAGCACATATACAGCACACAGCACCATAGTAAAACACACACAGCACACAGTTAACCCTTTGATCACCCCAGATGTTAACCCCTTCCTGCCCAGTGTTGTTAGTACAGTGTCAGTGCTTTTTATTAGCACTGATCACTGTATTGGTGTCACTGGGGATGTCAGTGACACCAAGTCAGTCCCCCCAGTATCAGAATGCCCGCTGCAGTCCCGCTATAATTCGCTGATCGCCGCCATTACTAGTAAAAAAAAAATTCCAGTATATATGGGGGGGGGGGGGGGGGGGGGGGGGGGGGGGGGGGGGGGGGGGGGGGGGGGGGGGGGGGGGGGGGGAAAAAACCGCCATATGTAAACGCTATAGTTTTACCGTAAACCAATTAATTTACACGTATTGGGATTTTTTTTTTTTAGCAGACATGTAGCAGAATACATTTTGCCCTAAGTTTATGACGAAATTTGATTTTTAAAATGTTTTTTGGGACATGTTTAATAGTATAAAGTCAAAAATTATGTTTTTTTTTTTTCTCAAAACTGTCGGTCTGTTTTTGTTTATAGCGGAAAAAATGTAAAAAAAATGCAGAGCTAATCAATTACCACTGAAAGAAATCTTTGTGGGAAGAGAAAAACGTAAATTTAATTTGTGTGCAGCGTTGCATGACCGCGCAATTGTCAGTTAAAGTAACGCACAAAACACAAAAAAATGGCCTGGTCAGGAAGGGGGGAAATCCTCTGGAAGGCAAGTGGTTAATTACCCTCTTAGACTAGCCAAACACTATACAATTCTCTACCAATTTCCTTTAGATTTACCTTCAATTATGTAGTGCAAGGGCCTGCCTAATTGGATACAACTGAAAGTGTTGTTTAGGTTTGACCTCATATTATATGCTTTTTGGTAAATCTAAAGCAAAATTCTCAAGAAAATTGTATAATGTATGGCCAGACTTAAGAGTGTAGTAATAATAATGCTAACAATTGTCCAATCATAAACTACCAACCAGTTGCAATGCTCTGTATTCACAAATCTATGCTAAGAACTTGTCTCCACTAACGGAGACATTTTGTTGGAGCCACCTGCCTTAGGTTCTATGTATTTTAGTCTCTAGAAAAATGGCCGCAGCTCTGCTTTTCGCATGCTTTGTTAGAGACGATATTAAAAAGCCATATAGCTCAATGCTGTCAGCCGACAGAAGACAAATTTTTCCTTTCTGATACCCTATAAGCGTTTCACTGTTACCTGCAGAAATTCATCAGCGGTCACATGACAGTGACAGTCAATACAACCCACAGCCATTCCTCTCCTCTAAACCAGCCACAGGGGGCAGGGCTTTGCAGTAGTAACGCCCTGGGAGGCGTGACCTATTGATGGGAGGGATTTCTGCTGTGCGAAGCTGTATTGAAAGGGGCGGAGACATTTTGAGGGTGTGGTTTATAGATGTCATGTACGTCAGCTGGGTAGACTCCGATTGTATGGGAGGGTGGAGGCTCATCACAGTGTCAGGGTGATAATTAGCTCCCCATTTAAAGGAACTGTCTCTATTGAAAGCCATCTCTGTGTGGGTTCTCATAGATCCCATAAAAGTGCTCTATTCTATTACCAAGAGTATTTTAAAGCAGAACGTCTTCATAAAACAACAAAAGCAAAAGGTTCTTGCAGTGCCCCCCATCCTGCCCAGAACTGCAAGTGTTAAAGGCTGGATAACCACTTCCAATCCGAGCCAATTCTAACATTTCTCACATCCAAATAAAAATCAGCTTTTTTTGCTAAAAAATATACTTAGAACCCGAAAACATGATCATTTTTATGAAAACAAAGGCTCTGGAGAATAAAATGGTGGTTGCTGAATTTGTTTTAATGTCACAGCCAGGGGCGGACTGACCATTTTGAAACTCGGGCAATGCCTGAGGACCCGGGGTCAGTAGGGGGCCCCATGATATGCCCCTGGTACCTTTTTCATAGGCTTTGAGTTTGGGCAAGGACACAGGTGCCCCATGATCCCCTATTGCCCAGGGGCCCCATGAGTTGTCAGTCCTCCCCTTTTCACAGCTCCTTATCAAACACAAATTATCAGGAAAAATTACACTTTAATGAAGACACAATATAGTACCCAGAAGGGCCAGGACAAAGGGGTGGGCAGGAGGGGCAGCTGCCCTGGGTGCAGCAGTTTAGTGTATGGATGGGGGCGCCAGTGAGGGCATTTTGACACGCAGATGATGGCTAGGGGTAGCATCTCCAAAGCTCACATATAATGAAGGGGGATTACCGGGGCGCAGTTTGGCTTCTTTGCCCTGGGCGTTGGATGGCTATGTCCCGGCACTGGTACCCAGTTTTTGGTAAAATATAAAAAAATGACTCCTGACAGGTGCCTTGGTTGAGCAGAGGCTGTGAATCAATATTTACATCCTTTGATAAAGTCGGAAGTGACGAAAAGCGTCAGTGGTGATGTCGGACGTAGACCGGAAGTTGAGGAGTGCCCATCTTGGATGAGGTTTATAGTGAACAAACGCTGATGCTGATTTTAATGATATGCCTAATGCTGTTATGCTGTGTTTGTTTGTAAGCACTTTTTACTAGAATATATAGATGTTTTTAAAAAACATACTGCACTGTATATACTTATCTATTCTGACTCATTATATACTGACATTGGAAAGTGGGAATATTACTGACTGAGAAGAGCTGTTTCTTTTCTACGCTTGTGGATTGGCTCAGTCCGGTAAGGTGCATGGTCTGTGAGGTGGTGGAACATTCACCCATGTATCACTGGTGGTCACAATTATTGATCGAGGGGAGCACGAGGGGGAACATATTATAGAGGTATTGAGGATATCACACTATATTTATTTTCTTTGGAGGGAACATCTCCTACGAAGGGGAGGATGGAATTAGAGGCTGTTTATTGGAGGAACCTCGTTGGTGGAATTTGTTATAAGGCGTTTTCAAGTAAAAAGAGGGTAAGAGTAAGGATTACAGACACTGAAGTGGACACATGGTGGGGTGATTTATGCATGATTTACACTGATTTTGTGAGTGTTTCTTGTAATTGTTGTGAGGATAATACACTATGTGCATTTATATCTTTTTTTGAGGGTAACAATTGGAGGATGGAGTATCAACCACATATGGAAGAATACTAAATAATGAGTAACACTACATCACAATAGGGGTTATTTAAGATTATATAGACGCTGTGAAAGACTTTTATTTTGGTTTCCTACTATGCATGTGCAAAGTGCGCTGTGCTTTGGGAATGGTCCCGCAGTCTTCTGGGACGTGAACAATCAACTTCCAGCTCAGATCGCCGTTATGCATCTGACAAGTAGTGGGAGCAGGTACATGTCTGAACCAGGTACCCACTCTCCACCAAAAAAAAATGCCAAATGTGGTAGTGGAAGGGGGGGGGGGGGGTTTCAAACAAGTATAACTTCTGTGTGAAGTTCCGCTTTAAAGATCCATGGGCGATGCTTTAAAGGCCTTTACAGGTTACCATTTTAGAGTTAACCAGGAGGTCTGGTCCTAGAATTATTGCTCTCACTCTGATGTACACGGTGATACCTCAGATGTATGCCACGTTTATCATTTACATATGTGTGTGGGACCTACATATGTGTTCACATTTGCATGTGAGCATGGCAGGACTGGGCACTTTAAATTGTAAAAAAAAGTTGTTTTTTTTTAGGCTCTTTCGTTTTTTTTTTTTTAATCAACCTAATTGCTATGAGAAGGCATGAACAACATCCCTTGTGATAGCGTGAGCCATGACAGGTCCTCTTTCCTGAGAGATCTGAGGTCTGTTAGACCCCAATCTCTTCCCTGCCCTCAAAAGCATCTGATCAAACTGAGATCGATTTAATCAGATGCTTTACAAGACAGGAACAGCTTGTAAACAACAAACCAAAACCAGAAATGACAAAATCCTTGTTGCTTCTGGATTCATTTATCGCAGAGGGTACAGATGTACCTTCTTCTCTGCTGTGCTTAGCCAGCCTGACACAGTGTAGCGGTCCCAGGACCCGTGACTGCGTCGGTGGCCATTCCACAACTTGTAAAAGTGACAGGCAGCTGTATAGCCGCTCAGATCACTTTTATTTAAAAAAAAAAAGAGCCTGGATCTAAAAAATTATACCAGGATTATGGCCGCAGCTGCATCCTGGTGTAAACACTCAAATGCAAGGGTGTACAGGTATATTATATCCATATTTAGGGTATAGCATGGTGCCAAGCACATGCCCCTCCACTCCCCAGAATGCCCCTCTACCCAGGACAGCATGCAGGGTTCTTGTTTCTCCCAGAGATATAGTCACTTGCATAATCTGCCTCACTGGCTGCATCATTCATTCAGAGATCTGTGAATGAATGAACTACAATTCCCACCTTCCACCTTGGCAGATGGACTGGTAACACTCTGTGGAATATGGGTGTAGTGATCACCACATTCACAGACCACTGACACTTCCTCCAGCTCCCAAGGGGCCATCCCCCTGATGACATCATCTATGATGAAATGCGTTGGGCGAGGGCCTAGGAGAGTGACGTCGTCATGCACCAAGACGGATTGGGACCGAATCAGGATAGCCCAAAGGAGCGCCAAAACACTTTATATAAGCTCTGTAAGGCCAGTCTTGGCTCCACTACATTGTGAGTGTTTAAGCTGTTTTTTTATAATAAAACATTTATTGGGTTTTACACTATGGAAGTGCTTCCATTTGTCTTTTGAGTGACATTGCAGCTCAAACATTTGGAGCAGAGGTGATCCATCAGCTGGAGGGTGGCCATAATTAACCTCACAAGCGCTGACTGACCATTTGCTGAATAGGTAGTGTATTTTCTGGTAAGCAGCTTATTGCTTTGGTTCTTCCACAGGTGGATTGGAGTGGATTCACACACTAGGTTCTGAGTCTTTGTGGGGTTATTTGGAAGATTTTATATTTAATTTTACTTGGACATTTTTTTTTTTTGCTCTTGCACAGTATTTTTTTTTTTTATTACTTTGAGCACATTGCTCTCCTTTTTTGTAATTTTTTCGGATTAATTCATATATTACTGGGATATCTTTGCCTACATATGTTGCACCTAAGATGTCCAATTTTTCCATTCCAGAAGGTCGGGAGGTGTGGTTGATGGGAATGCCACACAAAGTTTTGCCCCTCCAAAGAGCGTGAAAACTACAACTATGGGACCATACGGAGGATGGTAGTTCTGTGAACAATAATGTCCATACAACACCTAGTGTAACCATTTATAATGGGGTAAAGTGACATGCTTAAAGACCTAAACTTACTGGGGACTGACACAGCTGGCGAGAACAGACCAGGGATGGAATAAATTATGGAGTATGGACAAGTGACACAATGGGGGATTTACTAAAACTGGAGAGTGCAAAATCTGGTGCAGTTCTGCATAGAAACCAATCAGCTTCCAGTTTTTATTGTCAAAGCTTAATTGAACAAATTGAAGTTAGAAGCTGATTGGCTACCAAGCACAGCTGCACCAGATTCTGAGTGCTCCAGTTTTAGGAAATCTGGAGTGGAGGTACAGCTGCAAGAGCTTGGACAAAGCTCAGTGAATGAGAGAAGGTATACCACTGGACATCCATGAATCTCCTTTTATATATCTTTCCTACAAGTAGACTGTGGCTGCTTCCTTTATAAAATGACTCCTTGGTGTCACTCTCATTTTTTTTCTTATCATCTGCAGCCTATAACAAGCAGCTGTGAACACAAAACACTGTCCAATATCTATAAAACATTTCTTTATTTTTGTGAACAGCTTGTCTCAGTTTGGGGAATAGTTTGATGGCGTTCTTTGTAGTTACTTCAATCACTTCTTCCAGAGAGATCCCTTTGATTTTAGCGATGTATTCAGCAGAAAATGTAATATTTTTTGGCTCATTTCTGACCTGTTAAAACAAAAAGTTGTTAGTAAACCTAAAAGTAATTGTAAATGTGAAAACAAAATTATAATAATAAAACATGTTATACTTACCTGCTCCATGTAATGGTTTTGCACAGAGAAACCCCGATCCTCCTTTTCTTGGGTTTCACGGCGGTAATCCCGGCTCCTCCTCCCTGCCAAAAGACACTCGCTATAGGTGCATTTATGTGGGCTCGCTCTTGAGCCGTGCTCTGAGTGTCTGTTGACGCAGTGGAATTTTCCCGCTGCTGTCTCTGAGCCAATAAAGAGGAAGAGAGAGGAGAGAGATGCTGTTCTCGGTCACATCGCTGGATCGAGATCAGGCTCAGGTACGTACGGTATATAGGGGGGCTGGGGGATATCCTACTTACAGGTTTTTGTACTTTAATACAGAGAATGCATTACGGTAAAAAAAACTTCAGCTTTTAGAACCACTTTAAAAATAAATCAATTTTTATATGCTTTTTATGTGGGATTTTTCTTTGTGAATATGTTAACAATTTACAGACCTATTTTTTTAATAGCAGGTCACAGCACTGCACACAAAGGGTTTCATTTCAAAAGACTCCCTTTATCTGAAAGCAAGGATAAGTCAAAGTACACTACTAAGTTGTTTCTTATGGGTTGGGTAAAGCTGCACTCAGATCAGAAAAAGTTGTCTAAATAAAAGGGCCATGTCTATTCTATGCTGAATCATGGAGTACTTTGTGTATTTCTTCCAGATCTGTGCAGTAATCCAGCGTGAGACTTCCCCTCTGAGCAAGCCCTTCCCGTAATAAAGACCGGTCACTGCTGCTCTCTCTCCTTGTGCAGGGTGACTGGTCTTGTCTGCTTTCCCCCGTAATGTCTACTTTACTTACTCTCTAAAGCAGGGCCGTCTTTTTGCACATGCATCCCTGGGCACTGCCCAAGGGCCCCATGTGCATGGGGGGCCCCTGCAGTTCCCCCTCCAACCCAGCAGGGGGAATCGCATGTGGACAGAGTGGGCGATCAGTGAGCAGGTGGGGGAAATAAATGGAACAGACCTGTTTGGCTCTAACTGCAGCAGCTGAAATCTGGCATCTCCTCCTCCTTCCTGCTGGCATTCAGGTGCTGCAGGGAGAGCCACAAAACATTGGTTCCAATAATTTCCCCCATACACCTTATTGATCCACTAATTAGTGAAAAAAAAAAAAACCCTTGAAAATTTTCAATCAGGCTAAAACGCCACGCCCACTATGCAGCATAATTTAGCCACACCCACTTTTAGCCATGGTACGCTACAGGTCACCATCTCCCTGGTAGGGGTCCCAGTGCATTACTTTGCCCAGGGGCAAAGGATTCTATTAAGATGGTACAGCTCTGAAGCAAGCAAAGTCCTATTAATTCTCATATAAGAAAAGTTTTAGGCAGAGGAGTAGTAACCCTTAAAACAAATCATGTGAACGCACTTTCCTCCTATTTTGAGGACAAGCAAGCTGGAGTAATCCCTGCCATCTTATTTGCATAGGATGGCAGGGATTCCTTTGAAGTGGTACAAACTGATCAACCAAGAAGACTATCAAAGATTCAGATGGAAAAAAAAAAGAAGCAGTTGTTAATATAAAAATTAGAGATGCATCAAAATTTCGGTGGCCAAAATGTTTTGGCCGAAAACACCCCTTTCGGCCGCAATGAAAAAAAGCTCCGATGCAGGTCCCGAAAATATCCCACCCCTCGCCGCCCACCCGCCATCGCCGCTTCCCAGCTGCCGCTGCTGCCACTCGGTAGTTCTTAGCCTTACCTGAGAAACCATCAAACGATCCCAGAGCTTTGCATAGAGATGAGTGAAGGAAAGATGGCTTCCACTCATATCTATGCCCTTGGAGGACAGGAGCGATGTCACTTCCGGTTCCGGACATTTTTATTTTTACAGCACTAGATCAATGCTTTTTTTTATCTAATGCTTTACATTGCAGAGGAGAGATGTGGGGTCTTATTGACCACATATCTCTCCATAAAGAGGACCTGTCACTAATTATTTCTATCAGAAGGGATGTATGCATTTCTTGTGGTAAGAATAAAAGTGATTAAATTTTTCTTAAAGGGACAGTGCAAAAAAAAAAAAACAAAACAACAACATTAAATGAAAAAAAAAAAAGGTTAAAGTGCCCCCATCCCCCACGTAGTGGTGAACGCATACGTAGGCCACGCCCACATGTGTAACTGGTGTTCAAACCACACACATGAAGTATTGCCACAAACGTCAGAGCAAGAGCAATAATTATAGCACTAGACCTCCTCTGTAACTTTACACTGCTAACCTGTAAACATTTTTAAAGCATCACCCATGGAGATTTTTAAGTATCGCAGTTTCACGCCATTCCACGAGCATGAGCAATTTTAAAGCGAGACATGTTGGGTATCTATTTACTCACCATAACATCCTTTCATATTTTACAGTGTATTTTTTTCCAAAAAATATATATTCATTTTTAAAAACTGTGCATTTCTGTTTCAGTTTTCAGCAAAGTGCATATTGAATTTTCGTTTTCAGCACCAGAATGTTCATTTCAGTGCACCACTAATAAAAATGTACCTGTTTTTGTGGTCCCAGAGCTGGGGAGTCAGTTTCCAGACACATGTTTTCCAGAGGTAGTTGTTTCACTAGTTTCTGCTTCTTAAACAAAGAAGGACTGAATCACACACGAGATCACATAAAGCTGTATTTTTTACCATTATACACTCCAGATTGTAATTACCATGATGACATAGCTCTAGGATACATGCATTATAAGTAGACAATAAATCTGAACTTTAGGCAGCCATATAAAAGCACCAACTAGGACACTAATGTGTTCAATAAAGCGGTAGTAAAGTCTTGTAAAATAGTAAAAAAAAAAATGTTCCACCTTGTAGGTTTAAGTCACAATGTACTAGAATGCACTGCTTACTAGCACATTATGACAGACTTACCTGCAAATGGAGCCCTCCAGCGCTGCAATGCCACAGTTCCCTCCGGTCCTCGGCATTTCCATCATCGCCTGGTCTTCCTTCCAGGTTCTGTATCTTCAGCCACTTAAAAATTCGATGCCATTTTGATGTCACTCCCTCGCACCTGAGTCACATTGCCGAGGCACATAGAGCAGGCCGGAAGTGTGGTCTGAGTTGCGCATTCGTGGCTCAGATCACATTACAGCTGACAGGCAGGGGGGGCATTCATGACAGAAGAGACTTCTAGGGTCGCTTCTGTTATAAAAACTTGCTTGATAGCAGTATTTGTAATTTTGACTTTAAAAATGTATGATAAATTAGTAAATGAAACAGGTATAAAGATCTTAAAGTGGTTGTAAAAACAAATCTAAAAAAACAATACTTTTTGCTATAAATTAATACATTTTAATGTAAACATACATACAACTGTGAGCGTACCTCAGAAAAATGCTCCCTCAGGCTGGGTTCACACCGATGCGGTGTGGAATTTGCAACGTTTTCTGTGCGAATTCTGCACCACATCAGAATTACACCCCGTTCATGCGAACCGCTGCGGGTGTGTTTATTAAGTTACCAACACCCCAAAATCGGTCCGCAGAATGCGGTGTGATGTGCAGAATCAGATCGCATAGGTGTGAATACCCATGCGATCCGATTCTAGTACGGACCCAAAAAAGGGGTGGTGTGGTGCGATTTGAGCCATACATAATGTATGGCTCCAATCGTACCGCACACAAATCGCATGTGATTTGCATAGGAATGCGGTGCAGTTCCTGTGCGAATCACATGCGATGAACAACACTGCATTAGTGTGAACCTAGCCTTAGCTTGTCTCAGCCCTCCAAAAACTGCTTGTCTGTGGGTGTGGCTTAGGACCAGAAAATAGTAGGCGGAGATGTGATGTCACACAATCCCTCAGTTATACACACCCTCCAGAACGTGCACAGCTATCTGACATCTCTATGCCTGCAAGCATGTATGCATTCAGGGGAATACACAGGTGCCAGTGACTATGTCAGCTCTGCTTACAGCACAGAATCTGTGCTAATCAGGAGAAAGCAGGTAGGAAGGGGTTAATGTTTAAAATCCTAGGAATTCTGCAGCCTAAAGTGGCAATGTGGGCCAGGAAACATTCTTATGTAAAACTCTGTAAACAGCAATTCATAGGCTAAGTGCTGTGAATAGAGCAGGACAATAATCAGCTGTCAGCTGACTTACCTAGATAACTACAGCATTACTGAAGTAATGCCGATCTCATAAATCACTGCTGCCGAGTTCTCCATCTTGTGAAGGCAGAGACCAGCAGGAAGAGGACACCCGCTCCCCCACCCCTTTGCAGTGTATTACATGGAGGCTCCTGCTGGTCTCATCTTCAGCACAGCCTGTCACTCACAGGAGAAGGGGAGTGGTGACACCACCTTTCTGCTTGTGTCAGATTTATTCTGTTCAGAAGAGCAGGGGGGATTTCTGGAGAAGGGGATTGCTTCAACATACCAAACTAAGCTCAAGTGCTTAGTAAAGGTAAAATCTATTCAACTGTAGGATCAGATTGATTTGTGTTTTTAGGTTTACAACCACTTTAATTTGTCTTTGAACCGGCCTTCTGTAAAACAATGTACAACAAAACTGCTGCAGTGCACATGTGATCCCTATGATTAAGCCTGTTGTGTGCAATACATAAGGCTGAGAGGTTCTGGTGAGGCCTTGTACTGTCAAGTACATAATAAAAAGCTTGATACAGTACTGGAAGATGGAGTGTGGCTGCCTTCTTTGTGGTGTTTTTGCTTTCAGTCATCAAGTATTGACAGGGTACATGATGGCTGAAAGAGGCAGTCTAGTGAACAGAGTGATGACTTATCAGAGTGCTGCTGCTTCACTGTCCTGTAAGAATGTTGAGGATGTGTCCTGAACCAAGTTGAACTGCCTAAAGTATACCTGAAATAAATACTAAATAAAATGCCAGCACTAAGCCACACACCTAGACTGCTTTCACACTGTTGAGCAGCTTACCCACGTTTGTAGCGGGTTAACTGCACTTTCCCATAGAGTTATATTGTGTCCTGCATGTTTGGTGCACTTTCTGAAAGAGCACCAAAACGCCTGCATGTTGCATTATTGGTGCACTTTCAGAAAGCTTTTTGGGGTAAAACTGGGTGGACTGTTGTCTTTTTTTAAACCAGGTTAACTATGTAACCATGACACAATATACCTCAATAGGAAAGTGCAGCTAACCCACTCCAAAAACACGGATAAGCTGCACTGCACCCACGGTGCTTCAATAGCACACTACAGCAGTGTTAGAATTCCAGCCCACACCTAACTACTCTTAGAAACGTCCCCTCCCCCCCTCCTAATACCTATGTTGACTAACCTGTGTAAGAAAGATGTATATACTTACCTATTTTCAGCCCGCTCTGGTCCACTCATGTCCCCGGTAGCTGCAGGGGAGAGAAGGGAGCTCCGGCAACAGCTGGAACATGTGAGCCTGTGGGTGACATCACTGCTCCAAGATTTTTCAGCCATTGCGTGCTCTCTCTTAGCCCCCCCCAGGGGATCATGTGACTGGACTAGAGTAGGATGAATATAGGTAAGTATATACATCTTTTTTTTTTCTTTTTTTTTTACACAGGATAATCAGCATAGGTGTTAGAAGGGTGGGTGGGGGAGGAATCACTTTTAAGACTAGCTAGGTTAGACTGCAATTCTACTTTAAAGGGTAACTCCACTTTTGTGAGGAAAAAAAATTAGCAAATAAAAAAAAAAAAATAATATAGCGTATACAACTGCAAAATATGCCATGTTGTAATTCAATGTTATTAACCTCCCTAGTGGTCTAACTAATCAATATTTTGAATGTCAAAGTGGTAAATTTTTTTGCACAGAAATATGTTGTTTTATATTATAGGCCTGTAATTCTTAGGAATAATTCACTTAAATCTGTCCAAACAAGAGTCTAGTAAACATCCCGGGTATGATAAAGTTTGAAACACAAAAATAAATTATAAAAAATAATATAATAATGAATTTAATTCAATAATGTAATCAAACCAAAACCACTGAAATCTAAAATAGAGCGCCAAGTTCGCATATCGCTGAGCTCAGTCGCAGAATCGTTTTCAGTGTCTGATGACAAATTTCCCCACGAATCACTATCGCTCAATTCTGCAAGTGGTTCCGATTCACTATCGCTGTTTTCTAGCTGGGCTAAAAACCAATTTTATCCTAAAGGGACACTTAGAACAGTAAAAGTGCAGGCAGGGCACTGGACAAAGCACTAGGGACAACATTTAGGTGAAATGGTTTGATACAGTAATGTAATCCTAACAGATCACAGTGTATTGTGTGTATGTCAAATTTTTACTTTTTGTAATCTCCCGCCGCTTCTGCCCGCCGCCACCCCCGTACATCATGACGCTCGCAAGGAACTCGCAAGGCGCGAAACCCGGCATCGGCCAGCGGACATGTCCAGGGGACACAGCGGGAGGACCTCGCGGGATCGCAGGACAAGGTGAGGCTCGAGGGATCGCTGCAGTGTAATCCCGAGTGTTGCTCGGGTTACCACTTTTGGTACTGAAATTGACCCCGAGCCACACTCAGGATTACCGCCAGGAAGGTTAAAGATTACCTTTCCTTTTCAATCTCCAGTGCTGTAATTCTCTATAAAATGCAATGTAATATGGTTACCCCCCAGATATGTAATTTCCTGCTTTAGAGTACAATGCACTCCCAGCACAAGGACCAGGGTGTCACTGGGAGCCACAGGTCCCTTACTAACGATTGGGACCTGGAACTCCCGATTCCGGGTCGCTTGATCGATTGGCCATCACAATGATCAGTCGCTGTGAAGCCCACCACCATGTTTTCTTTCTCTCTGAATGGAGGAGAGAGATACATTATATCTCTCTCTCTCCCTGCAGAGAGAAAAAAAAAATCAAGGTTTGACCTAGATCAGTGCCAGGGTGTTTGGGTCAAGGTCAGGGTCAGGGTCAAAAGGTCAGGATTTTTTTTTTTTTAAATTAGTATCAGTGGTTTAGGCAGGATGAAAAATCCCCCAAAATGCACACTTTTTTCTGGGCTGTAATACGGGAACAAACAAATAACATACACATATGTGGTTTCGCCGCGATATTCAGGAGTTGGAGAATTTATTTTGGGTTGTTATTTGGTGGTAGGTTATGGTAGTAACACACAGCAAAATTTTTAAAAAATATATATTTTTTTACTATTTTTGGCCAGTTTTCCTTTGATAATGAAAAAAAAAAAAAAAAAATCAGCAGATATCCATTACCATTTACCACCAAATGAAAGCCTAATTTGTCCTGAAAAAAACAAGGTATAATTCACCTTAGGCCTTAAAATTTCCACTCGCCTGCTCGCATATGCGAGTGGAAATAACACGAGGGCAAGTGCGTCCTGTAGGGCCGTCCGTACATCAGCACTGGGATCCGTCAGACTGCTGAATACGCTGAGCAAAGTGAAAGCAAAGGGAGGGGGAGTGTTTTGTGATCTCAGCCTCCCCCTAGAGTGCAGTACCCAGCTGTGTGATGGACGGTAATGTACTGCAACTTTTTATAGGGGTGTATACATGTATTTGTGTGTGTACATGTGTCTGTATGTGTGTGTTGCACTACCCCCTTAGGAGTTGCAAAGATTTTGGATTCCCCTTTAGCCCTGCACAGCCAGGCAATGCAAATTTTCAATCAGACTTGCATCCAGGAAACAGAGGTCAGTCCTTGAGCTTTTTTGGGGATTTTATTAGGAGGATTTGAACTTGGACAAGGTTAGGGGTGTACAGGACACTCAATGGAACCGATGAACTGAGGACAACTTCTTGGAACTATTTTCAAGCCTCTACTGCAATACAATCTCTGTTGGAGAGCTAGCCAGCGTCTTATAGCGTACCACCCCAGACTCTACATAGACTCCTCTTTCTCTACCCAGCTGTCTGGAGGTATCCCTGAGCAGGGGATCTGGTGCCGGTCACTTCAAGGGATTAGGCAGTCCAGTAAGTGGCAACTCTGGTTAGCCACCAGACTGCTCCCTCCCCTATCTTTCCCCGGGAGGTACAGATCTATTTACTCATTCCTTCTCCTGTGCGGCTGGTGGGTTGGTGGCTGCTACTAGGGCTTCTATCTGGGCCACTCCTTCCCTGCCACACAGGTGGTCCTCTCTCAGGGGGTCAGTGAAGTCCAAAGTTTTCCACCTTCCCAGCTCCACTGCCTGTAGGTGAGCCCCTCTCTCCATCTGGGCCCCCTCCCAGGCTCCTGCCTTCAGCCTTACATCTTCCTCTTTGTCATCCACCTGAACTCTCCTGCTGCTGAGCAGGCTCACTTTTAATGGTTGTCCTGGCCCCTTGCCAGACCTCCTGTTGGGGATTGGCCAGGATCACTTAAGAGTACAATCCAGACACTCCTCAAATCCATCCACTGCTTCTAGACCAGTGGGAAATAACAAAGGGCAGGTCTGCAGTCTCTCAGCTCCTGACCCAAATTTGTTCTTCTGACTATTGCACCTGGGCTGCTACTTAGCCCCTGACTGTGGATCAGGTCTCTAGCTCCCCCTAGCTAACTAGAAGGGTGCTCCATGTGTGAATGTACATGTGTGTGTACACATGTCTGTATTTGTGTGTACATGTGTATGTGTTTGTGTACACGTGTCTGTTGTGTGCGTACATGTGTCTGCATGTGTGTGTGCGTACATGTGTCTGCATGTGTGTGTGCGTACATGTGTCTGCATGTGTGTGTGCGTACATGTGTCTGCATGTGTGTGTGCGTACATGTGTCTGCATGTGTGTGTGCGTACATGTGTCTGCATGTGTGTGTGCGTACATGTGTCTGCATGTGTGTGTGCGTACATGTGTCTGCATGTGTGTGTGCGTACATGTGTCTGCATGTGTGTGTGCGTACATGTGTCTGCATGTGTGTGTGCGTACATGTGTCTGCATGTGTGTGTGCGTACATGTGTCTGCATGTGTGTGTGCGTACATGTGTCTGCATGTGTGTGTGCGTACATGTGTCTGCATGTGTGTGTGCGTAAGCTTACGGGTGATTTGGACAGGTTCAGAATTATGTGGTTATCATGGGTGGTAGAGTATGGGGCATTTGAGGTACGTCTGGGCTGGATAGAATGAAGGATATGCTTGGTAGAGTTATGGTTTAGTGAGTGAGAGAATATGGGGGGTTGTGGTTGTATGTGGTGCATGGTCAAAGTATGATGTAGTGTTTTTTCAGGGACATTGGGGACCCTGATGTAATGTGGGGGGGGGGGGGGGGGCATCTGGAGACCCTGATGTAATGCGGGGGGAGGGGTCTCTCTAAGGACCCTGATGTAATGTGGACAGACTCTGGGGACCCTGATATAATGCGGGAGGACTCTAGGGACCCTGATGTAATACGGGGGGACTCTAAGGACCCTGATGTAATGTGTGGGGGGGGGGGGGGGACTCTAGGGACCCTGATGTAATGGGGCACTCTAGGCACCCTTATGTAATGTGGGGGGACTGTAGGCACCCTGATGTAATGTGGGAGGACTCTAAGGACCCTGATGTAATGCGGGGAACATTTACCAGTGTCATTTCATGAGATAATTTTGGAAGCATGTTTAGGAGCGGAATTAGGGGGTGGGGCAGGGTAGGGGTTGGGTGCAGCAACTGGTAGCGAGTAACTCTTAAGGCTAAAAGCTCAGGACTTGACATTTTGAGCCCCGATTCACCTGGTTGTAAAAATTAGTTGTGATGATATGTACAGTTTTACTAACATGTCAAAATTGCACAATTTTACTTAGGCATTAGGATTTGTTTTACCCGTAGGTGTGAAGGGGTTAAGCTTTTCTACCGAATTCCCGGGCTCTATGGCATGCACATTTCAACTAGGTCCTGTGGTTGAGAGCCTGTAGAAGAGTAAGGTTGGCCATAAATTTTCTTTTTTTTTTTTGTCAGCCAGAGGGGTGATCAATAAAAAACGGATGGATTTCAGCATCCATACAATTAGGTGGATGGAGGAATCCTCTCTGCTGTGTTACTGTATTCTGACAGAGGGAACTTCTTTGCTGTCAGAATACAAGGATCAGCACTGAAACCAGTTGGCTGCAGCTGCTCATCGAATGAAAGTTTTCCGAAAGTCGCTTGTGTTGAGCAGGGAAGACCATAGATGAATTGAAATTTGGCCGGTCCATCTATATCCAGCTTAAGCTGTAAGATATCACTGGTGTGTTTTTCTAACTTTTAGATGACCTCGGGTTCACTTTAATTTAGGTCCATGTCCAGGACCTGGCTATGCTATCTAGGGTTTCCTGAATCACAAGACTGGCTCAACAGTATTACAAATCTTTTGGCAGCTAAGAAGATTCACACATTTTTATTTCACCTTTGTATTTAGATAAGTGTTTGCAGTTTGACTTTATGTTCTCCCTATCAGACCTAACCTAATCCCTGCAGAGACCTTTGTGAGCATTAGTTATTTTCTACAGTCCCTGGAAATCAGGAACGGATTGTGCTCAGACTCCTTGTGATAAACTTGTTTTACCTGTTCACTTCTGATGATGGATGGCGGGATGGAAAAAAAATACCCAGCTTTCACACCTTCCATTGCCACTGAAGGCTTTCCATCAAACGCATGAAGCAGAACCTTTTCAGCGCCTACAAAACAAAAAGAAAAATCTTTTATTAGATTTGTATTGCTGAACTATTAATATTAGAGATGAACTGAAGGCAAGTATACATGTGCTGTCTCAGCAATTCTCAACCAGGATTCCTCCAGAGGTTGCCTCAGGGTTAAATGAGCTGTAGGCCATTGACCCTAAATTTGATGGTGTTCGCATAGTGTTGAGCCAACATCACTTGGCACAGCCAGTGACATGACACTAATAATCTGTTTATTTATCTGTAAGGGTGGCATTCTGATCACCAATATAAGAGGTATATTTCTCACTGACCCCTGATGAATTCCTTTTACTAGGGGTTCCCTAAGACCTGAAATTTATTTTTAGGGTCCTTTTTGAGATAAAAACCATTAAGGGCTGTGCTATCTAATCAAGCTATAAATCTAAAGTAATATAATTAAATGTATTGAACCTGAACATATCCTGATATAATCTACCAATAATCCCCTGAACACCAGGACCAAGACTGGGGACGGGACAGTCCTCTGAAATATTCAAGGCTTTACTGCTTTGCAATGATAAAATGGGAAAAGGATTTTATTTCTTTCAGTGTCCTTGTTGAGGAGAATTCCTCTTACATCCTATTCTGATGACAATTGTCACTGAGGCAAAATCTTTAAGTGGTATTAAAGTAATTTTAAAAACAATTGCTGACAGGCAGGGTTTTTATGGCAGAGGTTTCCTCCAGCATGTCACCTGTCAATAACAATGCACCACACATGCGCAGCTCAGTGAACATTTACAGCATCCAATCTCTGCTTTGATGATTTGGCTACTTTGTGTGAGTGTTGGCATTGTGGCCCGGGGCATTCAACTGGCCGAACAGAAGGAACCTAGAAAGAGGCCCAGGCAAACATTGAACCCCCTGGGTGGGACCTACAGGATTGGTGACAGTGCAGTGCTGGAGGTCCCATTATGACAGGTAATTGTCATAATGTGCTAATATGTGATACATAATAGTACATTATGGCATAAACCACCTGGGGGCCCATAATAAAAAAAAAAAGAAAAGAAAAACTGTTTATTACTGCTTTAAAGAGGACCATTCACCTGTTAACCAGAGAGGAAGAATATTGGAGGAAGTTAAGTGATGAAAGCTGTCTATTGCTGCATTGTCATGATAAAAGAAACCATCCACCACTGATGGTTGCCACTGAAACAGGAATTGACATGAAACCTCTAAATGAAGAAACCTGTCTGGGTGACAGCAGTCAACTGAGAAATTTTCACTCTCAATCAAGAGATTTTCTCTCACTTACTGTCACAGTACTGGGGCAGAAAACAAGGGATAATCTGCATAACGGGAATGTAGACAGAAAGAATTAAACATGGCAGAGGTTTTAACCATTTCCCATCCCACTATATCCAAAACTCAGATCAGAAAGGTTTGACTAGAGCTCTACTTTTAGGGGAACAAGTCATGAGTGGAGTTATATCAAAGTCTGAACATCTAATCTATCGCCTACTCTGCGCACTTTTAGGCGATCTCTGAAAACCTATCTCTTAAGGGAAGCCTATCCTGCCCTCAGCTAATAATGGAATCTTCTACTCCTCCTACCAGTCCATCCCCCACAGTTACTACCTTTTGTACCACTAGCCCCTCCCTCTTAGATTGTAAGCTCCAAGGAGCAGGGCCCTCCGAACCCTCTTGTATTGAACTGTATTGTTGCTGTATTGTCCCCCTTCATATTGTAAAGTGTAAAATGTTGGCGCTATATAAATCCTTATAATAATAATAAAATAATAATTATAATTCTGCAGCCTTCCATATGAAAGATTTAGATTTACACCCGTATTTAGCTTTACATACTGTATTTGAAGAAGACTGTTGGTGCTACGAATCAGAGACTGTATAGAAAATCACTTCCAAACCCTAAATAGCCATCATACATCAAAATGCAAAAGCACTGCAGCAGTTTAAATTCCTTTAAAGTGTATTTAAACCAGCGGTGCTCAATCTTTTGAAGAGCAAGGGTCACTTAAGTGATTTGGTAACTGGTTATGGCTAATAAGCTCCTAGATTGTAAGCTCGAAAGAGCAGGGCCCTCAATCCCCTCATGTTTTGCATTGTATTGGTATTGTTCTGTCACATGTTCTGTCCCCCTTTGTAATGTACAGCGCTGAGCGAACTATTGGCGCTTTATAAATACTGTATAATAATAATAATAATAAGCAGACTTCTCCATGTGTTGCCAGAAAACAGACTCCCGTGTTATGTCAAGGTCTTTCCTTCTGGATACTCATGGTAGAGAGTTGTAACCTCTCTACCATGAGTATCCAGAAGGGAAGACCTTGATAAAACGGTTTCTGTTTATGATAAAACATTTTGTGATATAAAAGATAAATTATATTTTAAGCAAATTTCAGTTGTATGGTTGCCTTCAAAATCTCAAATTAGAAGAAATTTAAAAAAGTTTTAATGTATATTCCGTGATGGTGGCAACCACATCCTTAGTCACATGAGCTTCTTCTTTTCCAACAATTATTTTTGCACATTCATTCATAAAAATGTTCTTATCCTGAAAGAAGAAAACTAATGCACCCATCACATCTAAGGGCTGGAAAACTGCAATATATTACATTTTGTTCTTGGGTTAAACTTTACTACAGGGCTCTGTGATATGGATATGCACGCAGGAAAGTTATACAGTCTAGCAAATGTCAGAGCAGAAACTGTCAGACTTGAGAGGACCTCTCACCTCTAATTCCCAGGACCTAGAGCCAGGACCAAAGTTAAATAATAGGTAAATATATGTTTTTCATGGCTAAGCCTGCATATTTACAATCATTCAAAAATAATCAGACACTTGCATGAACTTAGATGACTGTTGGTTTACATGTCTGGAATTTGGCTTGAACTGTGTACTAGAGGCTGCTACATAATACTCCTGCAATATTAAACAAGGCAGTGTTCCTACTCTGGAGCTAGCCCTACATCTGCGATTCTGGTGATGGCAGACCCCAGCACTGGGCAGGAGCTTCAGCTGTGATAGATAATGGTTATGCTTGTGCGCTTTCCTCTGGACAAATAACTGATATATAATGTGTTAAAATACTTAAGACATTTTACCTTGTTCCTTCAAAAGGTTTATAGTTGGCCTTCCTGCTGATCGGGAGTGAACATTTCTGGAAGTGAGGAAAGAAAGTGTGAAAAGATCACAGCCTATCATGAAACAAGCCAACATATCTTTGTTGAAAGAATAAACAGTTCTTATTGCCCAGAAGCACCAAAGATTGTCCATTTTATGAACTCATACTGCACTGTAAACATTAAGGAAGGGGTGCTCAATCCGTGGCCTGCAGGCCACTCAAACTAGGAAAGTGGATGCCAAGGGTTAGCAACCTGTTGATTGCGATCTGGGCTTGCCGATCTGCCATCCCAGGGCATCACAGCGCATCGAGCCAGCAGAGGAAGTAAGGCAGCTGCGGGAGAAGCAGGAGGTGCATAAGCCGATGCTTCCTTTGCACCGCCGCCTCCTGTCCCAGGGGGAGTGATACCAAATGTACTTCACCTGGGACCTTTCTAGCAGCCTGGAAACAGAGAGCGAGGTCAGCAGAAGCTGGAAGAGGAAAAGAAGGTCTGTGTATTAAACAACACATACACTGTGCTTCTGCAATGGGCTTATTAGCACCTATAAAAGGTTAACAACTATAAAGCTGCTTTCACACTGATCCACGGGTGAAGTGCAATGCACCTGCGGCTGTCCTGTGAGTTAGCTGCACTGAGCCATAGACTTCTATTATACCCCGTGGGTTTGGTGCACTTTCTGAAAGTGCATCAACACTCTTAAATTCAGGAGTTTTGATGGGTTTTCAGAATGTGTACCACACCTACAAGGTATAATAGAAATCTATGGCAAAGCACAGCCAGAGCACAGGAAAGCCACAGGTGCACTGTGCTGTACGCACGGCGTGGGTAAACTGCAGCACGTCAATGTGAAAGCAGCCTTATAGGGGGCTCAGGACAGTAAGGGCTCATTTACACTTAGAGTCCAGGGAAGGGGGGGCAGTGAACCCCCATAGTTAAGAGGTGTTTTTATGACACCCTCCCAGCCACTATTGGGGCAGCATACACAGGAACCAACCCTCTCCATTTTCCTCCTAAAACCACTGAAAGCTGGCTTCTCCTCCTCTCCCTCCAGCCAGAATCCAGCAACTGCAGAAGAAAAAGGTTCATTATGCTATTCAAAAAAACCTTGAAATTCTGAACCATTTCATTTCATTGTGGCTTGCGGCTAATTACCAAATCACTTAAGTTTCCCTCGCTCTTCAAAAAGTTGAGCACCCCAGCATTAAGGAGAGCATGCAATGAATGCAACTGACTGGCAAAACGACCATTTAATATTATCATCCTTTTTATATACCAATGTAGAAATGACAGATGAATGCTGGCTGGATATTATGGGAGGCTGTTCCAAGTGGGGGGAAAAAAACTTTTCTTTTGGCTGCAACTTTGCATTAAAGAATATGTAAATGCAACATTTCATATTCCTGATATGTGCCTGATGTATGCATGTACTCATATGGAAAAGTATCCTGTTCTCTTTGTATTGCTTCCTTTGTGTGAAATCCCTGCTGTTCCTGCCAGTCCCTCAGCTTTCCTATTTAAAAACTGACCACACTAGGTATGAGAGCACAGTGCGGTCAGTTGTCTAGATGAGTTGGGTACTCAGTGTGCTCTCCTCCAATGATCAGATTTTCCCTCCCCCACCTTTTATGCAGTTGAGAACAGAGGTTATGTGATCCCTTTTAAAAAAAACGGAAAAGTATTTATAATGTTTTGTATATCTATACACAAAATGTTTTGCTGTTCATTTCTATTTTAAATTGAATGGTTTGTTTTACAAGGTGAGAGTTTCCAAACACTTTAACTGCTTCATGTTTCCAGGTTTAGCAGCCATGCAATATAAAGATGGTCATACACTGTAAGTTTCCTCCTGTTCAGCCCCGGAGGCTGAACAAGGAAAATCTATTGAATACCCATCCATGGGTCTCCATCAGGTTTGCTTTCCGGGGCCGTGTTTCGACTAATATAATGATGAAAGGAAATAGATCAATGACAAAAGCTAGCACATAGATAAGAAGATATGTATTATTTGTAAAAGGAGTTTCAGAATCATGCTAAACAAGGAATATTCCGGACACACAGACCATATTTGACAATGAATGGATGAGAGAACTTCGTAAAGGTCTTACAGGGGTAGTCCTAGGTGTCTGGCAAGTTCTATCTGTCTGATGAACACCTGACGCTGTTCTTCCTTCTGGTCATCTGTGCTGGCGATTCTGGGAGTGAAATCCAGGCCAACCTGAGTGCAGACACAGAGCTAATTTACTGAAATTTAACAATAACCATCTACGGGCAGCACAGTGGTTTAGAGATTAGTACATCTGCCTTGTAGCACTTGAGTCCTTAGTTCAAATTCCAGCCAGGTCACTGTCTGCACGGAATTTGCCTCCTCCCTATACTTGCATGGGTTTCCTCCATGTACTCCGGTTTCCTCCCACACTCCAAAGACATACTGGTAAGGATTGGCTCCTGCCTAAATTGGCCCTAGTATGTATGCACGTGAGATAGGGACCTTAGATTGTAAGCTCCTTGAAAGCAGGGACGGATATAAATTTACAGTATGTGAACCACTGTGCGAATTATCTGTGCTAAATAAATGTCTTTAATAAATAAATCAAGAAATGCTGTGTAATTTTTCTAAAGCTATCATCCCCATATTATTTCCCTTTTACTGGCTTGAATTTGCTGACCCCTGCCAATCTGTCTGGCTGCAGAGTAGTAATATAAGCACTGGACTGGGGGAAGGATCCTCGTAGACATGCTCCACCCACTACATGTACTGGGGGATGGATTTAGAAAAACATGCTCCACTCACTACATGGACTGGGTGAGGGATTCAGGAAAACATGCTCCACTGACTACGTAGGCTTGAGGAGGGATTCAGGAAATTATGTTCCACCTACTACATGGACTGGAGGAGGGATTCATAAAAATATGCTCCACCCACTATATAGACTGTGGGAGGGAGTCAAGAAAACATGCTCCACCCACTATGTGGATTGGGGGAGTGTTTCAGGAAAACATGCTCCACCCACTACATGGACTGGGGGAGAGATTCCAGAAAACATGCTCCACCCACTACATGGACTGGGGGAGAGATTCCAGAAAACATGCTCCACCCACTACATGGACTGGGGGAGAGATTCCAGAAAACATGCCCCACCCACTACATGGACTGGGGGATGGATTCAGGAAAATATGCTCCACCCACAACATAGACTGTGGGAGGGAGTCAAGAAAACATGCTCCACCCACTATGTGGATTGGGGGAGTGTTTCAGGAAAACATGCTCCACCCACTACATGGACTGGGGGAGAGATTCCAGAAAACATGCTCCACCCACTACATGGACTGGGGGAGAGATTCCAGAAAACATGCTCCACCCACTACATGGACTGGGGGAGAGATTCCAGAAAACATGCCCCACTCACTACATGGACTGGGGAGAGATTCCAGAAAACATGCCCCACTCACTACATGGACTGGGGGAGAGATTCCAGAAAACATGCCCCACTCACTACATGGACTGGGGGATGGATTCAGGAAAATATGCTCCACCCACTACATAGACCAAGGGAGGGATTCAGAAAAACTTCTACTATATGGACTGGAGGAGAGATTGAGGAAAACTTGCTCCACCCACTACATGGACTGGGGGAGAGATTCCAGAAAACATGCCCCACCCACTACATGGACTGGGGGATGGATTCAGGAAAATATGCTCCACCCACTACATAGACCATAGGAGGGATTCAGGAAAACTTCCATTATATGGACTGTGGGAGGGGTTCAGGAAAACATGCTGCACCCACTATATGGACTGGGGGAGGGGTTCAGGAAAACATGTTCCACCCACTACATGGACTGGGGGAGAGATTCAGGAAAACATGCTCCACCCACTACATGGACTGGGGGAGGGGTTCAGGAAAACATGCTGCACCCACTACATGGACTGGGGGAGGGGTTCAGGAAAACATGCTCCACATACTACATGGAATGTTGCAGTGGATTAGAGATGGGGGTGTACACTTAGCCATGTTATTCTAACTCACAGGGGCCTCTACATACAATGGTCACAGACACTCCCCAGTATTCTACAGCTAATAGATAAATTCACAATTGGGCACCAGAAAAATAACTTTATAAATTCCAATAATCATTCTTATTACAAATATATGTCAATTGAAATAATCTCTATTATAAATTTAACATTGCTCTCTGCGACACAGTAGTAATATCGCTGCTACGTTTGCAAGGTAATATCAGGGTTTGCAAGGGCACTTTGGTGCACACAAAAGTAGATTTATCTAATTTGTGGCTATTGGGAAATATATTTAGATGAAAGTTATTTAATGCCCGGAGTTCAGCTTTAACTTTCATACTTGCAGCAAATTTATGTAGCCTAACCTTTGAAGAAACAAGATAGTGTTTAATTCGTCTAATATGAGGGCGAGGTCATTCAGAGGATCCTATTGAGGGATTCTCACACAGCATGGCAAACTCTTCCACAATACACAAAACCTAAATCGTATATTAGATATTCTGTACCTCACCGATAGCCACCAACTCATCCTTGTACAGTTCAATTAAAGGCAAAGCTTCTTCTAAGTCCTGAAAAAAATAAAATAATGTCAACTGTTACATCTTTTATAGCTTTACTTTTCAAGCTTTTTATTTATGAAAACAACGGCTGACAAAAGCGGTTCAAAGGATCACCCCACTCAAATCCGATAGTTCGGTTATAATAGCGACGGGTCTGGAATGAGTCACCTAATTTACTCTTAGGCTCCATGTACACGGGACATTTGGAAAACACTTCTGAACGATGGAAACTGACTGCTGGAAAACGTAGGTTAAAAAAAGTCTGTTTAGCGGGTTTGCATACCGCGTTTTTGCGCAATTGTGTTTAGAAGCGTTTTTTTTAAGAGAGACCTTCCAAAATGCCCAGAATGCACTGAAAAACAGTAAAAAAATAACTATTTCAGACATTTTGAGAGGAATAGAGAGCAGCATGTTATGAGATTACCTGTCTTTTCTAGTTGTATTCACTATGGATCTCATCATTATTATTATTATTATACAGGATTTATATAGCGCCAACGGTTTGCTCAGCGCTTTACAATATAGTGGGAGACAATACAGTAACAATACAGTTCAATACAAGAGGGACTTGAGGGCCCTGCTCCTTGGAGCTTACAATCTAGGAGGGTGGGGTGAATGGTACAGTAGGTAGTCACTGTGGGGGATGGAGTGGTTGGAAGAGTAGAGGATACCAGAATTAGCAGAGGGCGGGATAGCCTTCCCTGAAGAGAAAGGTGTTCAGTGAACACAGAAAGGCAAGTAGAGTAGGTGATAATCTGATAGATTGGGGTAGGGAGTTCCAGAGGATGGGTGACGCCCTGGAGAAGTCTTGGAGACGAGCATGGGAGAAAGAGATAAGGGAGCTAGAGAGTAGGAGGTCTTGCGAGGAGCGGAGTGTACGGTTTGGGTGATATTTAGAGATACGATCGGTTATGTAAGTTGGGGCAGTGTTGTGGATGGCTTTGTATGTCATTGTCAGAGTTCTGAATTTTATCCGTTGGGTAACTGGGAGCCAGTGGAAGGACTGGCAGAGAGGGGCAGATCAGAGCATAATACAGAGGGGGGGGGATCAGAGCAGCCCGGATAAAACAACCTTTTTACACAGTGCAAACGATTAACCCCTTAGGTTCCACAGTGAGTATAACAAGCATGCTTCACTGTATATACAGACTGATTTTACTGTTGTGGGTTTAGTAACACTCTAACCAATGATGATAGGTATATTTGGTGTGATAATCTCCACCCCTTGTATATCCCGTCAAAAAAAAGTGAACACAATAATTGGTGTCTCCTTCATAACCCCTTACAAAAGGGAATATCATCCTCCACCAAATTTCCAGTGTTGTGGATTTTCTGATATTTGCTCATCAAAATTAACAACATCAGGAAAGATCTTACTTATTATCCTGAAGATGCAGCCGTGGAATAAAATAAAATTCCTACACAGTAGAAGTTGTGAATATCTGGTTAATAATAAACTAAAGCATGTTACCTGAAGGGTGGCACTGCGTTCTTTCTCCAAGGTTTCAGCTTGCACTGGATGCACTCCTAAACATGGATAGACCAGTCCTGCGTTCCTGTGTACAGTCATCACTGGATAAACAACATGACCACCTTATACCTTTACATCTGTGCTACTAACCAAGGTTACTTGCCTAAGTACTAGTGAAATCCATTCTGGCAATAAGACACAACCACAAGGCATTTTCAGAACTATATCTGTCATTGGTGGTGGTGGACACAGACAACCAGGGTGGATAAAAAATCAATGATTTTTTTTAAAAAATCAAAAAAAAAAAAAAAAAAAAAAAAAAAAAATGTTTTTTATTTAAATCGGATTTTTTAAAATAAAATGCTTTTTGAGGAAAATATATTACCATCCAAAGGTTATTCCATCATGAAATAAAGATTAGTTTTTTAATTATGTAGAAAAAGGCTGTATATGTTTAATTGTTTTGCTAAATAAATTCCATGAATCCATTCACAATGTCATGCTCTTCCAGAGGTTTTTGTAAGATTATTGGGCAGTTTCTCTGCCTACAAGATATTATCACAGACGCTCGGTTTACTTTTGCAGTTCTCAAAACTGAATTTGACTCAGCGGAGATCACATGCCTCTTCTTCACAGCAAAAATGTTATAACATGAACAGAGTTAAGAAAAAGACCTTCATCCTAACTTCTACAAACCTATGAATACAGAATCAACCCCTTCAGTGCTAAGTTTCAAGAAGTTCAGTGAATAGAATAGAAACAATATTTTTCTGATTGTTTGGAGTGGAATAGATCTGCACAAGAAGAAAGTGAAACTAAGTGTGAGGAGGAAGGGGCTGACAGTCTAAGTTTCTTAAAATATATATATTTTGTTTAGCCAAATTAGTTAACAAACATGGATGTTTGTTTAAGCAAATACCATATGCTGGAATGTTATTGTTTCAGATGAATAAATCTATTTAAATTGTTATTATTAACCACTTGAGCTCCTGAGGATTTACCCCTTAATGACCAGGCCTTTTTTTGCTGTTTGGCGCTGCACTAATTCAAATGATAATTGCGCGGTCATGCAATGCTGTACCCAAACGAAATTTACGTTCCTTTTTTTCACACAAATAGAGCTTTCTTTTGGTGGTATTTTATCACCTGTGCACTTTTTATTTTTTGCGCTATAAACAAAAAAACCACTAAAATTTTGAAAAAAAACAATATTTTCTACTATCAGCTATAAAAAATATATAGTAAACTCAAAGGTAATCATAAATTTCATCCAAAATGTATTCTGCTACATGTTTTTGGTAAAAAAAATCCCAATAAGTGTATATTGATTGCTTTGTGTGAAAGTTATAGCGTCTACAAACTATGGTATAGATACTGTAATTTATGCCTTTTTTGCTATACAGCGCTGCACTAATTCAAATGATAATTGAGCGGTCATGCAACGCTGCACCCAAACAAAATTTACGTCCTTTTTTTCACACAAATAGAGCTTTCTTTTGGTGGTATTTGATCACCTGTGCGCTTTTTATTTTTTGCGCTATAATAAAAAAAACACGAAAATTTTGAAAAAAAAACAAATATTTTCTACTTTCAGCTATAAAAAATATATCGTAAACTCAAAGTTAGTCATAAATTTAAGCCAAAATGTATTCTGCTACATGTTTTTGGTAAAAAAAATCCCGTGCATTAGCGGGCAAACTGGCGCTATCTAGGAGGGGCGCTAACACTATCGGAAGTTACCAGTGACACTAATACAGTGATCAGTAAAAATCGGTTCACTGATCAGTGACACTGGTGACAGGGCAGTGAAGGGGTTAACTGGGGGGGGATTAAGGGGTTAAATGGGATTACTGGTGTACTAGCGGGCAAACTGGCGCTATCTGGGAGGGGCGCTAACACTATTGGAAGTCGCCAGCGACACTGATACAGTGATCAGTAAAAATCTGTTCACTGATCAATGACACTGGTGACAGGGCAGTGAAGGGGTCAACTCGGGGGGGGGGGGGGGGGACAAGGGGTTAGACGGGATTATTGGTGTATTAGCGGGCAATCTGGCGCTATCTGGGAGGGGCGCTAACACTATCGGAAGTCACCAGCGACACTGATACAGTGATCAGTAAAAATTGGTTCACTGATCAGTGACACTGGTGACAGGGCAGTGAAGAGGTTAACTGGGGGGGAGGCGATCAAGGGGTTAAACGGGATTACTGGTGTACTGGCGGGCAATCTGGCGCTATCTGGGAGGGGCGCTAACACTATCGGAAGTCACCAGCGACACTGATACAGTGTTCAGTAAAAATCGGTTCACTGATCAGTGACACTGGTGACAGGGCAGTGAAGGGGTTAACTGGGGGGGGATTAAGGGGTTAAATGGGATTACTGGTGTACTAGCGGGCAATCTGGCGCTATCTGGGAGGGGCGCTAACACTATCGGAAGTCGCCAGCGACACGGATACAGTGATCAGTAAAAATTGGTTCACTGATCAGTGACACTGGTGACAGGGCAGTGAAGGGGTTAACTGGGGGGGGCGATCAAGGGGTTAAACGTGATTACTGGTGTACTGGCGGGCAATCTGGCGCTATCTGGGAGGGGCGCTAACACTATCGGAAGTCGCCAGCGACACTGATACAGTGATCAGTAAAAATCGCTTCACTGATCAGTGACGCTGGTGACAGGGCAGTGAAGGGGTTAACTGGGGGGGGGGGGCGATCAGGGGATTAAAATGTGTCCTAGGTGTGTTCTAACTGTAAATGTGTAGTGTTTTACTCACTTTTGCTGTGTCTTCTTCTCTGTCTGGAACGGAGTGTGTCCAGGCAGAGAAGAATGACATCATATCCTGCCCTGTGTAAATGTCAACACAGGACAGGATAGGACAGGGACCGATCATCTGATTTCAGCCAGAAATCACTGGCTGAAATCTAATGATTGATCCCTCCTGGATCGAATCGTGTCACCCGCGGGTCGGCGGGAGCGCGCGCGCGCCCCCTACCAGCGAAAGTGTCGGGAGCGCGGAGCCCGTTTTAAAACGTGCTTTTGCGCTCCACTGCCGCCCTGCACACGTATATATACAGTGGCAGGGCGGCAAGCGGTTAAGTTAATGATTATTTTTCTCCTTCCTAAGTACAACAGAAAAGTTGTCCAAACATGAATGATTAACCTATTAAACTGGGGATAAAAAAAACTAATATGAAAAGTTGTTATTCTAAAAATCTTCATCTACTTGCATATTAAAGTTATACCAGCAAGAATTAGTCGTTATGTAGAAAACTATGATTTAAATCAAGCCTTACTGACTAGTGATTTAAATCGTGATTTAAATCAGTTTGATTTAAACCAAATCCACCCTGCAGACAACACAACCTCCAATGATCCTACAGCAAGATGGGTACCAATGCCCTATTATCCTCTGGCTGAGATCTATAGAACCTGACTGCACTCCCCTCTGATTAGATAGAGCATTTCATTTGTTTGCAGCCAGGTTCAGGGTTTCCCAGGGAGAATAAATTCTTTTGGAAGGATTACTGTAGCTGCTGACTATTAATAAAACAGCTACTTACCAGTCCAGGAGCCCAGCGTTGTCTTCACCCAAGGCTGTAGGAAGTAAGCTGTAACTTTTTGTTTCACTACTGGCTTCCTACTGCACACTCCACAGCCTCTGGGGACTGTGACATGGGACCTGGGACTGTGCTAGACTTCCACTATTCTCGCCTAGGCAAGAACTGTATAAATGAGAACCGTTACCTGTCAGAAAAAGGTACCCACTCCCAGGAGGAAAAAAAAAAAAAACATTAAAAAATGGTCTATAAGGATTAGTGGAACTTTCAGTTTTCTTGTTCAAGAATTGTATTAGTATTTTAACAGGGATGAAAAGATATTGGCAACAGACATTTCACAGGCATGAAAACATAATTGTTGTCAAATACGAAAGAGATGTCATTACAAAGAAGGGGGGAGGAAGGGAATGTTCAGTTTTAAGTGAAGTTCATCTTAGTTAAAGGATAAGTTCACCTTTAAGTAAAAAATAATAAGTGCAAATTATTTTTGCAGGTAAAAAAAACGTGCATTTATTGTGTTTGTCTGCAGAAGCCTGTAAAGCATTGCACAGGTGTCATGCAGGTCCCGTACGGGATGTACAAGCAAGCAGATACACGGGCAGGAAGAATTACCGAATGGCCACAGCGCTCCCAGCGCCATGGTTGTTCATTGAGGACTACAAGCCGACAGCTGCTAAGGCTGATGGGACTTGTAGTCTCTCATCCACAGAGGACCGTGAATGAGTGATGTAGCCGGGCGAGGCCCTGCATGGCCGCATTTTTAAAAAAATTGACAGCTAGCGGGGGGACAGAAGATCCCCCAATAGCTGTCAAAGTGGGGATCAAAGGGAGCAGGGGCCGGTCTGATCGTAACATGTTACATGATACACCCTGAATACGGATGTAACATGTTACAAAAGATGAACTTATCCTTTAAACCAGGGATCTCCAAATTATGGACCTCCAGCTGTCGAATTACTACAAGTCCCATCATGCCTCTGCATGGGTTTGGAGACCCCCTGCTTTAAACTTTAAAAAAAAAAAAAAAAAAGGGGGGGGGGAATAGTACTTCTGTTTAATGAAAAGCGTCTCTTGTGCTGGTAGCTACTCTCTTAGTTGAAATTCTCTATCGTCTACTGCATTCTCACCCCCCCCCCTCCCCACCACCACTGCTCCCCCTGCGCCAGTAATTTTCAGTGTTGTGGGGGTTAATACAAAGTGTTGAATTTGTCACTAGCACTCATTAAGACCATGCCCATCCTTTCTGTCCCCCTCCTCCATTTGTAGAATCTGTACCATAGTTGCCAAGTGCTCTATGAATGAAGAAGGTAGACCTTTCAATCATCCTTCTGTCCTCCATTCATAGAATGCTTTTATTGCTGGAAGCTATAGTATAGCACATGACATTTAATCTGTTGCTCTGTCCTGTATGGGTAAAACACAGGTTTACTATAAATACTGGCTTGGGGTGTAGTGGGCCACTAATAGATGCATATGATGCACAGATATTTTAGTCTTACCTTCTAGAAAGCTGAATTAATTTTTCAAATTCTGCCGAGTGCTCTGCCACCGCCACTAGAGCCTGGACACCAGCCTGAAAACCAGAAAAAGGCCCAAAATATGAAACATAGTAATCATTTTAAACAGGGCATAGTGCTGTCAGAGAAGACCATAAGGCTAGGTTCACAAATGTGCGGGTGGTGCCGCTGCAGATCTGCACGAAAATCCGCGCAACCGCACCACCCGCACAGAGAAATGTGGATCCGCGGGCTGGTGCCATTAGTTCTAATGGCACGCCACCCGCACTGGAAAACGCAACCGTGCTGGGAACCGAGGTTCCCGTGTGGGCTGCGTTTTCAGAAGTGCAGGGACTTCTTCCCTGCGTGTCTCGGGGCACGAAAGTCCATTCAAATGAATGGGCTCTTGTGCACACGCATAATGCGGCCCGCACTGTTGAATTAAGCTTTGACAAAAAAACCTGGAAGCTGATTGGTTTCTATGCAAAACTGCACCATATATAAAATTCTCCAGTTTTACTAAATCAACCCCATTGTGTGTGTTACAAATGCTGGGGGAGCACACCAGATCTATTCACAATGACCCCAATTTACTAAAGGAGTACAGCATGTTCACTGTTTTAATTAGTGACTGAAATAAAGTGAGAATATGCTTTGCAAAGAACAGCCAATCAAAAAAAAGATTTTTTTGCCTGTGTTGGATGATGGAAGTCAGTACAACATTACTTTATTTACTAAGTTAAGTGAAAATTGCCTTTTCAAAGTGAAAATTAACCCAGCTGAGAAAATACATTGAAGCTGTGATGACTTCAATCATCCAATAATATGCAAGCAAAAATCATTTTTTTTTTAAATATATTTTATGACTGGGTATTTTGTTAAGTGAATTTTCATTTTATCTCACCTCATTCGCTAATTAAAACACTAAAAACTGGTGCTTAGTGGATCCGTGGTGCGGATTGAAGCTCAGGTTTTACAGCTGATTGATACAGTAGTTGTTCAGTGGGTCACGTCAGGTTTACATCAGGTTCAGGACAGGGTTAGCTCAGGAATTTATCCTGTTCACACATATGCGGTTTAGAAACGATTCCCACAGAAGTCAATAGCCCATAATCCGCACCTGAACCTGAAGGTACTGCTCAGAAATCGGACAGGACTCTTTTTTTAAACTGCACTGAATCCACACCGCCAGTGTGAATAGCCACCATAGGAGGCAATGTTATTTCACATCTCATGCGGTCTGGATGTGGTTCAGACTGCATCCAATCCGCATATATGTGAACCTGGCACTTAGGAGCCTATGCAAACTGAGCGAATATTTACCTTATGATTTAAAGCAGATTATCCTTTAATCAGTTCCATCTAATGGCCAAAATGCGGTATATTTTCTCATTGTGGTATTTCAGAAAACTTTGCTCCATTTTGGCCACTACATAGAGCTAATGATACAGGAGTTAATCTATTTGAAAACATATAGTGAAATTTAGTTCTGCTTGCCATCATATATTTGACATTCGCGTAATGAATGTTTTATAAATAGACCCCCATGAGAAGTGATCATGCTCTACTCCTTTTGTAAATTAACCCCGTAGTGTCCCAGAAGAAAAATAGCTCATGACCCCAGTGCACCAAGGCTGCTTTACTAACCACTGTACCATGTTTTCCTTTACTCAGCGTATCTGCTGTGATTATTTTGACAAGACAAATAATTAGTCAAATGGCTAGAAATAGACAGCAGCTGTCCAATATCTAAGAAACATTCATACATAATAAGTGTAAGCAGTTATATGTGTAGAGAAAATAAAACAATACTTACTGCCTTTGCTTCTTGCAAAATGTTATTGATGTCCTGCAATGTAAAGAAGCAAAAAAATTAACAAATGCACGCAAAAATTGCAGAAATTTCAAAGAAGTGAGTATGTTATGAATTGGCACCTGCAGCAAAAAGCTCAAGGTTCTTACCAGTCTGAATTGCAGAGGAAAAAAAATTCAAGACAATCAGGCTAGGGTACAGTAAATCACAACACACCTGTACAATCATGGACAAATCCTGTAAAAGCAGCAAAAGCACTGTAAAACAAGCACTTACTGACCTCTGTAGCTGCAATCACTAAGGAGTAATTGTTCCTCAAAGTTTACAGAAGAACACACTTTCTTTCAGTGAATACAAAGTGTATACTGATAGGAGGAGGTGGAAATTGTTAGATCGATGCCCCTCCTCTCCACTTCATTCGATCACAGCCCACCTTGTATTCATTTTTTAAAAAATACAAGATGTTCTATTAATGGTGATGGGGCTGTGGTCAGTGTGCAGAGGGGCAGGAATTGAGCAGGACCCAGAAGACTAAATCTATCACTGTAGCGGCGGCTACAACTACAGTGATTTATGCCCCAGCAGTCTATCAGGTATGAAATATGCATATTTACATACCAAGCTGGACCAATGAAAGCATGCAATACAAATAATTCCTGGAATTCAGTTTTAAAGTGATACTAAACCCTCTTGTTTTATCATTATGTCTTTTTTATTATGTGCAGTCCCTTTATTCTGAAATGTCCATTTACTCCTGTAGTCCAAGGGCGATGTCCCCGTCTTTTGTTTCTGGGTGCCTCCTTAACTAACCATGTGCTAGGGAGCCATCCATGCACACTCAATGCCTGAGCCAAGCTATGTGTGTTCACAGAAACACACAGAGCTCGCAAGCCACACCCCTGCACTCTCTCCCAGCAGTTTGACTGATGATTTCAGGAGCCTACTGTTCCGCTGCCCTCAACATCTGCTGAGGATCCAGGAAATTTGGACAGTGGTGTTAATGGATCTCAGGCCTGGTGGCCATAACAAGGAAAAAAGGTAGATGGGGGGGGGGGGGGGGGGTAAAAGTACTGGGACTTTTTATCTTAATGCTGTGAATGCATTAAAGAAAAACAAAAGGTGGAATTGACACCTTTAGAACTATTTTAAAGCAGCGTTCAGTCCCTCGCTCCCCCCCCCCTAAAAAAAAAACAGTCAGTAGCTACAAATACTGTAGCTGCTGACGTTTAATATTAGGTCACTTACTTGTCCAGGGATCCAGTGGTGTCCTCACCCCGAGCCGATTCTTCAATCTGCCATCGGGTGCTGCGCCACGATCTCGACTTCACCGCTGGTGTCCTATAGCACATGCGTGAAGTGCGCTGCACTTTGTGAACAGGCTGAAGTCTTCTGAGACCTTGGAAGTGTCCCAGAAGGCTCGGGGGGGGGGGGGGGGGGGGGGAACGACTCCCAGCTCAGTTCACCACAATGAACTGAACTAGAAGTGGGAGTGGGTACATGTCAACACAAGGTACCCACTTCCCCCCCAAAAAGTGCCAAATATGGCAGCAGATGGGGGGGGGGGGGGGGCAGAAAAGTGGAGCTTCCACTTGTGGGTGGAACTCCGCTTCAAAGATGAAATGCTCCATAGGGACTGCAGCTACAGAGTTGAGGGCTTGTTTAAAAACATTATAAAAAGAATAAAAAGCGAGCGCTATCCAGTCAGCAGCTGTACACTCAAGGCAACCAACAAAATCCTTAATAGAATCAGAAATAAAATATTGCTAAAAGTAATAATCATACAGAATGAATAGACTATATGTCAGAAAAATACTGCAAGTATCAATTGAACAGATGGACAATAATTGAAAAAAAATTGGAAAAAATTGAAAAAATGCACATGGAAAATGTATATGCCCAAACTGTGCGACTAAATTAACATATATTATTATATGAAGAGGTATGTAAAATCCATGATGGTGACTGAAAAATTGCTATAATAGTCCCCACAACTTCAATCGATGCTTGTGCTTCATATTTAATAGAAGGAATGCGCACTCACCAGATGACACTATTAATGTGCATTGTATATTATCCTGGTGTCATCAAGGTAATCATCTGGGCCAATAGGTAGAAAAGGCTCCCTCTTGGAATGGGTAGGGTCCAGGGACTTAAGTGTTGATGATCCAGGGGTGTCCAGAGTTCCCCTTTAGGGATGGGTGGGTGCAGCTCACACAGGTTTAACAGGAGGCTCCCTCTCTGGATACACTCGGTTGGTACTGGGCGTCTAGAAGGCTAATACTCCCCACAAGGGGTCAGAACAAAGGAATGCCCATAGTGTAGTAAGTTGATAAATATTTATTAATATCATAAATAAATGATTTGGTTCTTTCTCTGATGATGTGCGTGCGCACGTAACGCGTAAGGAGGAGCCTACTCACGCCGTCGGAGCATCGTGGAGCTCCGGCGGCCATTTCATTTCAGGGACGGGCAGTCCACTTTGCTTTTACTTCTATTTATTGGATGCATCCTGTTTACGATATTAATAAATGTTTATCAACATCCAACACTATTTTGTCAAATGCTGTAGTCTGAAGGAGGATGTAATGCTGGCATTCTTCGCCAGTGGAGGGGGGCATTGTTCCCAATGACCACCAATGTATGGCAGCACTCTCCACACTGACCTCCAATATAAGGGGACATTCTTCAAACTGAACACAGGCATTTTAAGAAGGCATTTTTCCCATTGACCTCTGATGTAAGGGGAATAATTCCCATTGACCCCCAATGTAAAGCATAACTTTCCTCATGACAACAAATGTGAGAAAACATTCTTCCCACTGACTGCCAAGGTACGGGGGCAATCTTCCCACTGGTCTTCATAGTAAGAGGCATTCTTTCTATTGAGCCCAAATGTAAGGGGAATTGATCTCACTGACCCCAGTGTAGGGAGCATTCACAGGAGTCCACACTGCAAGGGCATGTTCTTTCCACTGAACCCCAATGTAAGGGGACAATCTTCACATTAGCAACCAATGTAAGACATTCTTCCCACTGACCTCCAATGCAAGGGGGACATTCTTCCCACTGACCCCCAATGTAAGGGGGACATTCTTCCCAATGACTCCCAATGTAAGGGGGACATTCTTCCCACTGACCCCCCAATGTAAGGGAGACATTCTTCCCACTGACCCCCAATGTAAGGGGGACATTCTTCCCACTGACCCCCAATGTAAGAGGGACAATCTTCCCACTGATCACCAATGTAAGGGGGACATTCTTCCCAATGAACCCCAATGTAAGGGGGACATTCTTCCCAATGAACCCCAATGTAAGGGGGACATTCTTCCCAATGAATCCCAATGTAAGAGGGACATTTTTCCCACTGATCACCAATGTAAGAGGAACATTCTTCCCACTGATCACCAATGTAAGAGGGACAATCTTCCCACTGACCCCCAATGCAAGGAGGACATTTTTCCAACTGACCCCCAATGTAAGAGGGACATTCTTCCCACTGATCACCAATGTAAGGGGGAAATTCTTCCCACTGACCCCCAATGTAAAAGGGACAATCTTCCCACTGCCCCCCAATGTAAGGAGGACATTTTTCCCACTGACCCCCAATGTAAGGGGGACATTCTTCCCACTGATCACCAATGTAAGGGGGACATTCTTCCCACTGATCACCAATGTAAGGGGGACATTCTTCCCACTGATCACCAATGTAAGGGGGACATTCTTCCCACTGATCACCAATGTAAGAGGGACATTCTTCCCACTGATCACCAATGTAAGGGGGACATTCTTCCCACTGACCCCCAATGTAAGAGAGACATTCTTCCCACTGACCCCCAATGTAAGAGGGACATTCTTCCCACTGACCCCCAATGTAAGAGGGACATTTTTCCCACTGACCCCCAATGTAAGGAGGACATTTTTCCAACTGACCCCCAATGTAAGAGGGCCATTCTTCCTACTGATCACCAATGTAAGGGGGACATTCTTCCCACTGATCACCAATGTAAGAGGGACATTCTTCCCACTGATCACCAATGTAAGAGGGACATTCTTCCCACTGATCACCAATGTAAGAGGGACATTCTTCCCATTGATCACCAATGTAAGAGGGACATTCTTCCCACTGACCCTCAATGTAAGAGGGACATTATTCCTACTGATCACCAATGTAAGGGGGGACAATCTTCCCACTGACCCCCAATGTAAGAGGGACATTCTTCCCACTGACCCCCAATGTAAGAGGGACATTCTTCCCACTGACCCCCAATGTAAGAGGGACATTCTTCCCACTGACCCCCAATGTAAGAGGGACATTCTTCCCACTGACCCCCAATATAAGAGGGACATTCTTCCAACTGCCCCAAATTTAAAAGAACACTATGTTTCCACTGATTGCATCTTTTTTTTAACTTTTTTAATCTATTTTAACTTTTTATTCCTGTCATCCCATGGGTATTACTGAAATCAATTTGGTTGTATATTGGAGGTCAATCCATTCTAGGTGTCATATACTCTGGGTATGCCATGTTCCACTTTCTTTCCTTTGTTATCTCCATGGGTCTGATCACGCTCATGTACCTTATCCTGTAGATATACAAATTTTGACACCTGGAGATTATTTCACAGATTTCTCTGTGGTAAGGCAGGGAACGTCTTAGATAACAGGAATTTCTATCACACTTACCTGTAATATACATACATGGGGCAGATCGCTCTGTATGCTGCCATGCTGGTGCCAAGTATTGTCATTGAAAGATAGGAGTCAGCGGAGCACATGATTGGCTGTGGCAGCCAGGAACTCAGTTTGGAATTGTTGGCCCCATAACACCCCATTGGAAGAGCTGTGTTATTATGAATCATTACTCAGAGACAAGGAAGGAGAGAACAATGAATAGGGCCCTCACCTGATCAAATTCTGCAGAAGACAGGTGACAATGACAGTCCACAATCCCCCCACACACCTCCATGCTGGCTACCCCACAAAGAACTTCCAGACATCTGTCAGTCGCCTGCTAAACATAGACTCTCACTGCGCATGCGCCATCCCAGCCAGCTGCGTCGCCCTCCATCTTTGTACACCCGTTCTTAACGATCCAGCGACAGAAACGCAGAATTTTAACTTATACTCCGGTTAAAAAAAACCTACTCTACGTAGTACTGTATTGGAACTGTCCTCTAAAATTGATTTCAAGTAATGGTATCTGTTGGGTGTAGTAAGATGGCGATTTTACTGCTTCCGGTTAGCGGATGACTGCTTATGTTTATTATTTTTCATCTTTGTTACTAAGTTATTTGAACGTATCGAATAAAAGGCTGTATGAATACAAAGTATCGAAAATTATACTAAATATAGTTTGCGAGTAGTAAGATGGCGGTTCCCTGACTTCCAGTGTACACGGAACGAACGTGCTAGGTAGGGTTCCCGGCGGTGCAGGTTTGCAAACTGGACTTCCGGTGGGGGGAATGTCCGGATTTTGAAAATGGCGGCAAATGTTGGCAGTCCGAAACGGAGAAGTCTCCGCTTACAGGATGCCAGTGTGGCCGCCGAGAGTGGACCGGGTCCTTCCTCCTCAGGAGCCCGGGGCCACGCAGAGACCAGGACCTCCGGTAATACAAAGAGACTGTCTGCGGAGAAGAGGAGGGTAGGAACAGAGAGCCAGGAGGGGTCCCTGGGCAAAAGAAATAGTGCAGAGCTGCTCAGGGGGAAACAAGACCCCAATAAAGGGACTTCTCATGGGGAGAATGAAACAGAACAGGAACCCAAGGACACAGCGCCCTCCACAGGAAGGAAAGAGAAAAGGAACTCTTCCAAGAATGCACCCTCCATGGATCCCAATCCTTCCAAAAGTGCACCCTCCATGGAGACCAAAAGTGCACACTCCATGCAGTCCAGCACTAAAAGCAGTGACATCTCTAGCTCTGGAGGTAGAAGCCTACGGCCACAGAGGAGCCAGGATAACATAGGGGACAACCCCCAAGGAGCCACCTCCTCCCCCGTTACTAACACATCCTTCAGCAGAGAGACCAGATCCAGCACAGCTAAAAACCAAGAGCAGAATGGAGCCTCCATGGCATTCGTAGGACGTAAAGGTGCAATCTCAGGCAAGGACAAAGAACACCTTGCTGAGCCCAACTTTGTAAAAGAAGGCTCTGTTGATATCAATGGCCATGATAGACATCTGCAACCAAGGAGGAGTCGTGACGGTTCCAGCGCTGATGGAGAGAACAGCTCAACAGGAGGCACTGTAACTAATGCATCGGTGAGGAGGGAGACCAGATTCAGTACAGGAAGAAAGCAGGAGGGCTCTGAATCCTCCACAGCCATCAGGGGTAAAGATGCAATCTCAAGGCAGGAGAAAATGGAAAATGTTGACATTGAGGAGCCCAAGTCTCAAAATAAGGAGAACACTGGTGAGAGCAGCAGTCATAATAGAAGTTTGCAATCAAGGAGAAGCCACAAGGGTTCCAGCTTTAATGTAGAAGAGAACCATGGAAGAGCCACCTCAGCCACTGTAACTGATACATTGTCTAGCAGAAAGACCAGAGCCAGCAGAGCAAAGGATCTTGAGGAACCTGGAGTCTCCACTGCGGTTAGGGGAGGAGGTGAAGGTGGAGACTCAAGCAAGCAGAAAAATGAAAACCAAGGGGGGGCCAGCTCTCAAGAAGGGGAAGGAGCTGAGGACCCTGGTGGGAGCAGCAGTCATAATAGAAGCTTACAATCAAGAAAGAGACACAATGGCTTCAGCTTTAATGTAGAGGAGGACCTCAGGGGAGCCATCTCATCCGCTGTAACTAATACATTGTCTAGCAGAAAAAACCAGAGCCAGCACAGCCAAGGACCATGAGGAACCTGGAGTCTCCACTGCAGTCAGGGGAAGAGGTGAAGGTGTAGACTTAAGCAAGCAGAAAAATAAAATCCAAGGTGAGGCCAACTCTGAACCAGGGGAAGGATCTGAGGACCCTGGTGGGAGCAGCAGTCATCATAGAAGCTCACAACCAAAGGAGAACCTTGGTAGCACCAATGTTAATGCAGAGGAAAGCCCCAGAGCAGCCGCTTCATCTACTGGTACCAATGCTTCATTCAGCAGAGAGACCAGATCCAGTAAAGCAAAAGACTCTCAAGAGGAGAGAGGATCTGAGGACTTTGGTGGGAGTAGCAGCCACAATAGAAGCTTACAAAGACTGAGAAGCCCTGAGGCCTCCAGTGGTAATGTAGAGAACAGCTCCAGAGGACTCCGTTCATCAACTGAAAGCCATGATTTAATCAGAGAAGAGGCCAGGACCAGCAGACAAAAACATTATGAGGAAGCTGGAATTTCCACTACTGCTGAAAGAAGGGACAATGGTACACCTTTAAGCAAAGGAGAACGAGTAAAAGGCCTAGGAACCAAAGTGGGGAGACGTTAGATATCTCTGGCGGGGTTAGAAGTCCTGATAAAAACTTAAGACCAAGGAGGAGCTGTGATGGCTCTGGCATCACTGGTGGGAATAGTGAGGCAATAAAAGGAATTGATGGTACACCTTCCAAAGAAATGACTGGGAAAAGTGAACCCATAACCCAGAGTGTGGAAGTATTGGGAAATCCTGGTGGGAGCATCAGTCCCAGAAAAAAATTGACAAAAAATAGAAACCTTGAGGACCCTGTTGATGATGGGAGGAATCCTAACTTGACCACTGAGAGCAATGCAGGAGAGGCTGCCAGAGACTATAAAGTGCGCTGTTGCTCCAAGCAGTTTCTACAGGAGGTGATGGGAATGTGTACTGGAATTTGCAAAGAAATTGTGGATAGTCAGCAGTATCTGAATGAAGAACAAAAGCAGCAGCACCGCAAGAACTTGGTCTGGGTGAGAACTGTATGGCTTTGGAACTTGCATTAAAGTAGAGGTGTTTTATATATATATATATATATATATATATATATATATATATATATAGATTTGTTTAAAGGTTCTAAAGGCCCATGTTTTGTTTTTTTTTTTTTGTTCCTTAATGCATTCTATGCACTAAGGTAAAAACCTTCTGCGTGCAGCTCCCCCCTCAGGCCCCTTATACGTACCTGAGCCCTATCTTGAGCCAGCAATGTGCATGAGAGCAGCTGCTCTCCTGCGTCTCTACTTATTGTCTCAAACAGCAGCTGGAGCCATTGGCTCCTGTTATCAATCACAGCCAATGAGACAGAGGGAGGGGCTGAATATGGCTCGGGAGTGAGCCTACTTGAGAGCCTCATAGCAAGAGGCTTGCTATTTGGCACGCTCGTCAGGGGGGAAAAGCCAAGAGAGCTGGTGGGCACCCAAAAAGAAGAGGATCAGGTCTGTTCTGTGCAAAACTATTGCACAGAGCAGGTAAGTATAACATGTTTGTTAGGAAAAAAAAAATCTTTTTTCTTTAGAATCACTTTAACCACTTACCGACCAGTCACATACCTGGTATGTCAATGGACTTCAAGTGGTTGTAAGGGAATGATGCCTGCAGTCGATGGTCAGCTCTTGTAATAGCAGTTGGAACAGCTAACTAGCCGCTCAATTGCTATTACAAATAGCGGCGGGGGGACATCTCCCACCACCTTCTGTGGCTTTAAGAGGATCTCCTGTCCCACTGGGAGTTCTGACCGACCAGCCGGTGCTACCGCGGTCACATAGTAGCCCAGAAACGATGACCTGACAACACTTTTGGTTTACTCAGAAATGCATGACGCCATTTTTTTAAAAAATAAAAGCATTCAGTCACACTGATCCTGGTGTGATTAAATGCTTTTAAGAGCAGAGGAAGGATCTGGG